CTAGGCTGGTCCCGTGGGACAAGGCCACAGGCCTGCACCCACTCGCAGAGGAAGGCAAAGCAACCTCCTCTGCGGGGCCCCAGGGCGCAGTACTACTCCACGCTGGGCAAACGGGGGAATCAGACGTTCTGCTCGGAGCACTTTGCTGCTCTGCCGGGGGTCACTGCACACTGCAACTGCGCGCATCTCCTGAGGCCTAAGTCTCGCACCGCCGCATTCCCCACCACCCTCTCCAGGCACAAGTATTGCTCCAGCCCCTCAGCTCCCGGGGTCCCCTGCGTTGGTCCGTCTATCTCTATCGCGTGCACTGAGAACTAAGTTCTCAGAAAGGCAAGGCCTGTCTCGTTCACCCCAGCGCCCTGGCAGCAGTTCCGAGAAATCCAAATTTGTTTTTCAAGCGTCCCAGGCTTTCTACCACCAAGTTAGGTTTGGAAATAAGCACGGAAACGTAAATGGGCCTTGCCCGATCACACCTAGGGTGGTCGTAATCCACGGACACACACCACTCAAAAGGCACTGGTTTCGCCCGGCTGGTGCGTGGGGCTCCCACCCCAACCGGCAGGGGTTGCACCCGTGGTTGGGGCCGTGGCCCTCCCGCGCCCCCCGACTCTGGGCAGAGGGGGGCTTCCTGTGACCCGGGAGGCACGGGAAACTGCCACCAACAGAAAAACCAGAGGCACAAAGCATGCCTCAAAACCACTAAGTATGACGCTGGTGATCCCTTCCATCTGTGGGGTAAAAACAAAGCAAAACAAAACCCCGAACCCACGCCCGCGCGGAAGCACGCTGTACGAGGGACAGCGATTTGGACGCTGGCCGGCGGGCAGGGCCCGGACGGCGCGCCACGTGCGAGGGCTGCGGACCCCGCGCGGGGCCCGAGGGTGGAGCGCCTGGAGCTGGGCGAACAGAGCGGGGGGCCGCACACAAAGGCCGCGGCCGCCGGCGCTGCCCTCGGCCCGTGCCCCGAGAGAGCCCTTTCTTCCTACGCAGCGAACATGGCGGAGCCTCCGGGGCTACCGGTACGCGCGCTGGGCCGCCCCGGGGCAGGCCGCGCTCGCTCTCCCACTCCTCCAGCCGCCCGCCTCCAGCGCCGCGGGCCTCCCTGCGGCCTCCGGCCCACTCTCCCGCCTACCCCCTTTCCCTCGCCAGCAGGGCGGCCACTGGCTTACCGGCAGCAGGGCGCGGCGAGCGCTCGGGCTCCGGAAGGTCCCCGAACAGGTCCATGGCGGAGGCTGGGCAGCGGCGGAGGCAGACGCGCAGCCCGAGAGCGGCGGCGGCCTCCACACCCGGCGGCAGCGGCTGCGGCAGCGGCGACGGGGCGGCGGCGGCCTGGGCGCTGTCAATCAGCCGAAGGCGGGCCAGGAACGCCGCCAATCGGCACGCGGCGTGGGTCGGCCGCCCCAGAGTCCTGCGCGCGGGAGAGGCGGGGCGGCGAGGGGGCGGGGCGGGGCGGGGCGCAGGCGCGCAGAACTCTGGGGCGGTGGGCCGGGAGCCACGGCTGCCATTTTTTCCGCCCCCGCCCTGGGGTTCCCCGGTCTTCCGTGGCCATGGCATCTGCTCGGAGAAGGCCGTCCCAAAGAGAAATGCCAGCGCTCAAGAGCCCCTGAAGTAAGCCCAGATGTTTGGGAAACTTCCGTGGAGCTTTTCACGTGCGTCCGCCCGGTCGCCCTCCCCCTTACGGGGGGCGGGCGGCGAGCCTCCATTCCTGGCCCATTCATTGCAGCAATGGCGAAACTGAGGCCAGATCGATCGGCCCGGCGCGTTAGGACTGAAACCAGCTAAGATGCAGGATGGACAGGAGGCATACATCCGACCGGGGGGGGGGGGGCAGGAAAGAGCGGCTTTCAGGAGATGTTCCAGAAAAGGGCAGAGGGCTATTCGCCTGTCCAAATGTGCACGAAGAGGGGCCACGTGAATAACCTGAGAAGCTCAGGGGAGGCCTGCCTGGCGGCCTTACAAAACTCAGAAACCTCGAGTAACCACACAGGGTGGTCTGAAATTAAAACTTAACTAAAAACAAGTCATGGTGGGTGGGCATGTCCTAGGAGGGTGTCTTCCCTGACAAAGGTCAAACTTCCCCTTGAGTCTGTCGTCTTTGTGCAGGTGTGATAATAACATATATTTGGAATGTCAGGGTACTCGGGGCAGTGCCCTCTTTCCCAGATCCCTCAGGATGCAGCCTCCCTCCAGATTTGCTCCCCAGCACAGTCCTCGTGTGCTGTAAATGTTGACTGTTACCTGCCCTGTACACACCAATGTAAGTGAAGTACCCGTCTCTCCTGTTTACTTATTGTTTCAGAGACTCCCCTTTCTTTGCTTTCTACCAGCACCCTAATCCACCACCAGTGGATTTCTGGTAACCCCCCTTATACATCCACAAGCTGCAAAACTACCCCCAGCATTTGGCATGTAATAGACACATAAATTGATTGGTTGGATGAGTGAATAAATGAATATGTCCATTTTTGATGGCCAAAGGACACTGCACAGTCCTCCCACCTCCAGCGTATCCAGGAGGGTGGAGCTGAGGGTGGTTCTCCCTGGCGCGAGCTCAGAACTGCCCAAGTGAAGCTCACTAGTTTGCTCTTAGGAAATGATCATCTAATTCTGATTGGAAATCAAGGAAAGCACCTGATGTCCCACGACACTGGCTGCCTATGTGGCAGGTGGTATTTTCCAAAGTTTTCTACAATAGTGCTCATCCTACATGCTCTTCTGAAGCAGGTCCTCATCACTTTTCCCATCAGGAGGCAGCTGAGTCTCTTCCCCTTGAACCAGAGAGTGGAAGAGGTTCAAGTTATGATTTCCAAGGCCATGAGCTTTGGCATGGTTGTCTGGAGACAGTTGCTCTGGGCGAGGTCAGTCACCGCCTAAGTGCTACTGCCCAGGCCGCTGTGCTGGAGAACCACGTGGGGGCGCTGTGCCATCCACTCCCCCACCCCCCAGCCTTGCTGGGTGAGTCACCTTGCGCATCCTCAGATGGCCCCAGCCCCAGGCAAGGCCTGCTGAGCATTTAATGAATTCCTGACCCACAAAATAATGACTGACATGAAGTGGTGGTTGCAAACCGCTAGGCTTTCGGGCACCTAGAACGCAGCAATAACTTTACATGTCGCACAGGCTCACTTTGTGCAATGGGTGTTGAGATGATAGTGACCAAAAACTGTTGTTTCCCTTGGCAATGGGGAGAGGGGTTGGATAGCAGCTCTGGCCTGGGGAAGTTTGCATAAATGTGCGGAGTCTCTCACGCTGTGCCAAGTTCATCTGGTGTCGTGCTCATGGAAAGCCATGTCCTTTAAGGAAGGGACCATGAACGAAATAGCGGCCATGGCAGGCCTGAGCAGTTCAGTGACCCAGTGTAACCACACAGGGTGGTCAGATCACAAATCCCTACCTGGGCAGTCAGTGGTGGGCAGTCCCATCCCAGGCCTGTCCCTTCCCAAGCAAAGGTTGATCTTGAACTTCAGGGAGCCCTGCCCATTTTTCTTATGCATCTAAGGTAACACATCAGTTACTTCCTTTCTATCCCTTGAAGTCACAACCTCCAGCACCGAAGAGCACGACATTGTCCTTGTTCCCCAGGCAGCCCTTCCACGTGCTGTGTGTCCACCGGCCTGTGTCCACCAGCGTCCAAGTGTATCACACCGTTTTCCCTTCTTCCACCTCCTTGATGTACCTCCCTCAGATTTCACGCAACCCACCCCCACCCCTTACCTCTCCTCCTTCCATTCTAATGTATAAAATAAGATGCAGAACTGCCCTTCTCCGGGGTGTAATCTCAATCCATTGAGACTTCTCTTCTGGGCACGTGCTCCAACACTTGGCCCATGTAAACTTGTAAGGCTTTCCTATGGCTGGACATCCCCTCCGTCAGGGCAGAGAACCCAGAATGCTGTCTGCCAGTTTGGGGCCAGGCACTAATTCAGTGACTTGTGAATGTTAACTTCTAATCTCTCAGCGGCCTCTACAGCAATACAGCCTGAAAGGTCTTGCAGTTTCCCCTGGAACCTCAGGTAAGATCCAATTAGCACTGGAGAGACTTCTATGACTATTAATGCGTAATTCCTACACCCACGAGTCAGAGCGGAAAAACCTTGTAGTACATGGGACATGTGTGTGTTTGCACCCAGGCGCCCATGCCCATGTGGAAGCAAAGTGGTCAAGGATTCTGAGGGCCCTTGCACCTGATACCCACAGAACCCCCTCCAGGGGGCTTCCTTTTGGGTCGAGGGTGAGCAGAAGGCAAGGCCGCGGGGCTGCCACGCCTCTGTAAGGAACAGAGACAAGTTAGGTGGGTGGTTGAGCAGCTGGGGTGGGGTCATTTCACTAGGATCTCAAATGCCAGGACAGTGACTTCAGCTCAATGCCGGAGCCATTTTCTTCAGCTAGGAACAACTCAAGTATCCCCAGAAGGGCACACCCTCCCATGCTGCCACCTCTTAGCCATCTGTAGTCATTTTCCACAGTTACAGACCCAGCCAATGTCACAGCAGAAAGGGCCCTGAGGCCCGGCACTGTCCCTCTTTCTATGAGTGGGGTAGTGGGGCCTACTCTGAACCTCCTTTCCAGATTCTGTTTATTGGCTTCTCCTCATCGAAATGGGGAGTGCCCTAGGGCCCAGTTCGAGGTCCGCCCGGATTTACTCTCTTCCGAAGTCACCCTCACTCAGTTCTTCGGCGTTTAGTACACCTGTGTTCTGCCGACACAGTCGTGCGTGTCTCGTTTCTCTTCTGGGCACTCGACACACATCCAGCCCTGGGTGGCTAACAGGCAACTCAGATTAAACCTATGCCAATTACAACTGCTTCCCCTCGGAATGCCAACCCTCCCTGGCCATTCTCAAACACCGTCCACCCAGGGGCTCCCACCAAACCTAGGCGCCACCTGGATTCCTGCCTTTTCCTCCTGTTACAGAAACAACCCCCGACCCGCGGTCTTTTGTTCTATGGCTCTTCCTTGCCCTGCCTGCCGCCAGAAGGAATGGGCTCTCAATGCCAGAGTTGGTCAAAAGGAAAGGAACTGTTTAGTTAAAGTTACACAGGTTTAGAACAATGGTGGGATTGTGCCCTTAAATCTCACTCCCTGTAGGAACGGAGATACACCCACACACACAGTCCTGCCCTCCCCCCCCTGCCCAGTCCGGCCAGTCCCAGAGCGGGCCAGTCAGAAGCACCACCTTCCAGAAGGAAAAAAAGCTCAAGTCTGCAGCTCACTCCTCCTGGTTCCTCCCAGTCGTCCGTGCTGGGCTGGGATGGCAGGTCCCCCGTGGTTCCCGGCACCACCAGCTGTGTCGCCGCGATCACGGTCTCCAGTTAATACAAAACCACATGGCACCTCCTCGTGGCCGGCCGGCAATAGTCCTTTCACCCAGTATTGACCCGCAGGGGCTGTGCATTGTCTCCCAACCCACCTGGTGGCCCGCCTTTTAGTTTAAATCCCAGCCTGGAACCTCCTGGAAACGCCATTTCCGACTCCTCCCACAATGGGCTACACCTGCCCATACCCTCCTGTTCTCTGCCTTCCTGAGCTGCCATCGTGAGTCCAGGCAGGCGCCATAACCAGGGGGAGCTGCCTTCCAGCTACAACACGGGTCAAAGTCACACCCCTCTCCCTGGCCCAGGCAGACAACGAAGCTAGAAGCTAGTCTGCCATTGCCAATGCCATTGCCATTCCCTCCCTGTGCTACTTCCCAGCGCCCGGGCCAGGCTTCTCAGCCTCTGGGCCCAGACCCCGCTCTGCACCTGGTTCCACACCAGTTACAGTCCCCCATTTCAGATAAAACCCTTCATATCTTACAAAAGGACAATGGGTGAAGGTCTCATCTTCTTGTAGCTACTTCCAGCTGGACGTGGCTGCTGTCCTCCCTACCCTTGGGTCTGGGTTTCCCTGAAAGAGTCAGGGGAGGGGGGGAGTGGCATAGACTGTGGACTTCCCATGAGGGGAAGGACCTTGCAGAGCCTGGTCAGTGGGCTGTGGGGAGCGGCGGGCTCAGTATCCGAAGGCTGGCATTACTGGACAGTTGGCATCCTTGTCGGATTCTGGAGGCGACAGATTTAGCAACAGGGTTAGAAGGCACAATTAAACCGTAGGCACTAAATGACAAAGGCAGGGGCCAATTCTTCAATGTCCCACATCAGGAAGAGGACGGCTTCTCTGCAGCAAGGCGTGCGAGGCAAGCTGCACCCGTCCGAAGCCCTGTGCCCACTGCTCCGGCTGAGGGGCCACTTTAGGATTTCTCCCCTTTCAGATTTCGGGGCCCTTTCTGTCCGAGCCATCAAGACAGAAAAGGAAAAAGTGAAGCCCACAGACTGGCCGAACCCTTCACCAACCCAAGCACTTAGTTCAGCCAAACCGTTCAGTCTCGGGGGCGATGACGAAGATGGGCTCCTGAAGTGAGGCCTGTATTGCACCCAATCGCTCAGGTAGTGAGGCCACAGGCATAGACCCTATGAACACAGAACACACAGGTTAACTCACACAACAATCCCCAAACCAGTCTCTGCGCCTGTGAGGCTGTCTTTGGGAAGACATTCCACTGTAAGGTCCTTCCTGCAATGACATTTAACAATGGCAACAGGACAGGTCCTTTGCACCTGTAAATTGTACATCTTCGGTGACATCACAAACCTGGTTTCAACTTTCAAATGAAAGCAAACTTTGAAGACAGTTAGCTGTGCCATTCTGATGTCCAATACTGAGCATCATGATTTTCCTTAAACCATGATTTTTCTCCCTGAGATCAGCCTCATTGTTACTGAAGGGACTACATTGAGTCCAGCTTTTAATTTTGCCTGTTTGTTTGCATAAACACACCAAGAGCAGCCTGGATCACTTCTGATCCTTAAGTCTGCTTTGCTGGAACTCACACGGGGAACCTTCAGATTGACTTCTCAGTCTGCCCCTCGGGGCACAGAAGCAGAGCCACACATCTGCCATCTGGCTTCACCTGTACCAGTCGTTTCACTCAAATCCTTGAGCCTCCATTGCGCCTACAGGTTCCTTTTTAGCCATCTTTCAGGAAAGCAACCTTCGTTCCTTCCCTGGAAAGACTGGCACAAACCACGCAGCCAACCAAAGTACCAGGCTTTTCTCACGAGCTTTCGCCAGCTTCACAGGTCAATCCCAATTCCTCGGGGCTGTCTGGTGACAACCAGAACCCAGACACGCCTCCTTCAGGTGTGACATTCCAGTCAAAGTCTCGGTTAACAAAACCACCATTGACGACTGGTCTTAATGGATTTATGCGAAGAAACCTTATGTCATCACTCACTGCTTCAGAGTGCCCAATTCTGGAGGGATCAGGCAGGGAGAAAAACACGAAGTGTGATGGAAAATCCTTTTCCTTCTGACACCCACCAAGGTGGCATCTCCGTGCCTTACACCTTCCATTACTAACCCCACATAATTCCTTTCCAAAACTTTCAAACTTCTACAACCTTTGACACACCCTCTTCTATCTGCACAGCTTCCCACAGACCTTCAGAACATCCAAAAAAATTCTATATCCTTTTCTACACCTCCTTCATTTCCATAATGTACACTTCCCCTGTTGACTCTCCCGCAGTGTGTGAAGTTTTAACCTTCCCTGGAATCCTCAGTTTCCCTTTCAGAGAAAAACCCAAAACACAGACAGGGCTGCAGAGGAGCCGCGCAGAGGCAGAGGGGCTCCCTCGCGGCAGGGCGCCCGGCGGCCCGGCACAGACTCGCTCCTTCCCCTCGGGCCGAAAGCACCCAGCCTGCCCCTTCCGACCTTCCCTCGGCCTGCGGGTACAGAGGCTTTCCGATCAGAAACAGCAAAATTCAAACCACGTGCCCACGAAAATCAGAAAACAAGGAGGTGAGGTTTACTTTCCTCATGGTTTAAAACGTTTACAACCTTTATACGTGTTTTTACCCACCCAGATTTAACCATAACTCACTTTTAACCCCAGTTCTTTTCCACACTGGGAAGGACTCAAACTTGGTCCCTGGCAGCTCAAAGTCCCCAGTGTTACAAACACAGGCACAAAGTGAGAGCAACGCTGTCACCCTGTGGATGCTCGCTGTCCTTCTCCAGAAGAGGAATCTCAAACCTTCCTCTGGAGCGCAGGTCCAGCTGCCCCTTCAGCCTCAGCCGTGGCAGCAGGGTCTGCATCCCCACCCCCCCAGGCGGTGCCCATTTTACCCATGTGGTGAATCCAGGGCGGGACTCCCGTCAGCTTCAGGGAAGAACGTGCTGTCGAGAGGACGTCGTAGGGACCAGTCCCTTGTTCTGCAGCTGCTGTTCAGGGCCTTCAGTGAGACTCGGCCGGGACAGGTGCAGGGGCCTCATCGGAGGGTAGACAGACCTGCGATGAGCAAACTGGTGCGAGATGGTTAGTGTCTGCCCTGAATGCTGCGCATACTGCTTTATTCTTGCCTCGTGCTCCCAACCTGGAGGGGGCGTTCCTAGATCAGAGATTGGGAGGGGACTCCCGTAACCTACCTCAAAAGGACTCAATCCGAGCCCACTTCTGGGTGCCACCCTGATTCGGAGCAGGGCAGCAGGGGGTGCCCGGTCCGATTCTAAATGTGCTTCCTGGCAGATTTCCGCCGGGGTCTTCTTTACGGTGATTCATTTTCTCAGTCTTTCCCATGGCTTCAGGTCTCCAGGATGCACACAGTTGCCATAGTACTCGACATGCCGGTCCAACCTTCCGGGAGCTCTCCGAAGCAAACGATGGTCCGCTGTCACTCCGGGTGCTCTGGGGGAGCCCAAACCAGGGACTTATTTCTTTAGGCAACAGTGTCCCCACCTCAGTTGCCTTCTCAGTTCTAGTGGGGTACGCCTCTACCCGTCCGGAAAAACGTGTCCCTGGAGACCAGCAAGAAGCCGAAGTCCCCCTTGGTGTCAGCATCCGTGTGAAGTCCACCTGCCAGTCGTCCTCGAACAGACACATCCCCTTCACGTCGCGCGCCCTTCTCTGCACGCATCTGACAGACTGGCTGATCCTCAACAGCCCTTTGCCCGTAAGGGCCTTCCTTTCAAATGTGGCCCAATGACGTCCATCAAAGCCTCCCTCACGCAGGAGCTGGAGGACGCCCTACACCAGAGCTGCAGGGAGTAAGGCCACACCAGGGCGCTGACCTTCACGTGGAACTCGGGTCTGTGCAGTGAATCCCCTTCCATGTAATGAGGCGTGAACCCTGACGAGTCCAGATGGGGGAGCGCAGCCTCTAGGCGTGGCGTGGCGGCTCCCCGTCTTGCTGCTTTATCAGCAGTTTGGCCGCCCTGATTGGTTCCGGAGGCACCCCTCTCGCGTCCTGCCTGGGCAGCGCATGGTGGCAGCGGTCGGTCTGGTACAAGCACTGCCTCCAGCAGTTGTCAAACCTCCTCTGCATGCTTGCGTCCTCTCTCCCTGCACGCTGCTCCAAGGGCGTGGACGCCCACGAGGGCGTACTTGGAGTCTGCGTAGACGTTAACCTCCTTCCGCAGGGAGGCCCAGCTCGGCCTTTTGCGCGGAGGTTCCCCGTGCAAGGGCTTGGGTTTCTGTGACCTCGTCTGTGGTGACTCCCGCACAGCCAGCTTGTCACTGCCCATTGTCCACACGAAGCTGCTCCCATCTGGTGCTGCTGGCAGCCGGGCCGGGCTGTTAGAATGAACTTGGCCCATAGTTTCCAAGCACTCACGCTTGAGCGCTGAGCCCCCCTCCACCTCAGGAGCAGGGTGGCTGGCTTCAGGGCTGTGGCAGTCTGTAGGGTGACATTCGGGTTGTCCGGCAGAATGGCCTGCTATTCCGCACGTGCCCTGCCGCCAGCCAACATCCCCCTCTCTGTTCCATGAGTCGGAACCTGATGCGGCACCAACACCGTCGTGGGCTGCCCCAAGCCAAACTTCTCAGCCTCTAGTAAGATGTCACAGGCGGCTCCCACCGCCCAGAGGCACGGTGGCCACCCTTTTGTTGTATGATCCAGCTTCCCTGAGAGATAGGCTGTGGGTCGGGAATATTTCCCAGGGTCTGGGTGAGCACCCCCAGTCCAGTCCACTGCCTTTCATGGGCATACAATTTGAAAGGCTTCTATAAGTCCGGCAGTCCTAGCACAGCGGCCAAAGCCAGATTCTCCTTCAGAGTATCAAATGCCACCTGACAGTCCCCTGTCCATTCGAGGGGCAGAGTCCAGTCCCTTTAGGGAACTGTACAGTGGCTTTGCCTTGAGTCCAAAGTTTAGAATCCAAGTTTGACAAAGCCCTCTAATTCCTTGGACCCCGCGGAGCTGCCTTTGATTGTCTGTGGTTTCTAGTGGGTCACGGCTCACTTTCTATCTGCCATCAAGCTCCTCGGACCATCTCACTTGAAATTCCAGATACACCACTTCCCGTTGGCAAATCTGGGCCTTCTGAGGTAACACTCTATGTCCCCCTTTTGCCAAATGACTTAGGGCTGTGGTGGTGTCATGCACACAATTCTCATAGTTGCTGCTGGCTGTTGACAGGTCACCCACGGCTGCAAAGGCACTCCCGCCTCAGCTGAACATCCTGCCGGCCCTTCCCCGAACGAACATACTCGGGGTGGGCGGTGTCCCCAAATGCTGTGGCCGTGAGGCCCAGCAGCCCTGGAATGTGGCTTTAGTCTCTGGGTCCTGCCAATCAAGGTGAACAGTTGCTGAGCCCGCTCATCTCTCAGGAAGAAGGAAAACGCACCCTTCGAGTCCAGGACTGAAAACCGTTTGCTGTCCCCCGGCACATGGCCAGCAGGGCGTACAGACTGGACACCTTGGGTGAACGTCCTGGACAAGGTCACCGACGGCCCCGAGGCCCTGTGCGAACTGATGCTCACCAAAGCGCAGCTTTGTGACTGGCCGCATGGGAGTACAGAGGGGTGACTGACAGGGCCGATGTAACCTTGACTTTAAAGACCTTCGCAGCACTGGCTGGACCCCTCTAAATCCTCCTTCTTGAAGGGATACTGCTGCTTTTAGATTTATCTTCATGGTTTTGCAGGTTAACTGCTTCTCCTGGAGTTCCGTCAGCACACACAGTTCTCAGATCTCAGGGGGGAAGGGTTCCCTCCAGAGCCTCGGGGACAGGTCGGGGACACCTGCAGCCGGAAGGCATATTGAGGGGACTGGGTGCACAGCTGCTGTCTCTCGGGGAAAAGGTCATTCCGGCGTGCCGTTTACAAAGTACATCCCGGCCCAGCGATGGCCAAGGGCGATCTGGCGTGTAGAGAAAACTCCCCGCACGTTTTGACCCCCATGCCGGCATTCCAGAGGCTGCAGGAATGTGTTTTTGTACCTGGCCAGTCACTCCAGTAACCGTGACTTCATTCGGACTTTCCCCAGTTTTCAACACCAAGTCTGTATCTCCATATTTACAAAGAAATCGGTGGGCTCGTTGCCCAGTCTCCTGTCCCGGGGCTCCCGTGGGGAAATGGTGATGGGTCGGGAGACGTCCAAAGGAGCCCCAAGGCCTCCTCATTCCCGATCAGCCTGCCTTCTCCGCTTTCCCGTCGCTCGGCCGGGATCCTCACTCCTGGTTCCCCTGTTGCGACGCGGGCACTGCTCCCTCCAGTGGCCCTCCTCCCTGCAATAGGCGCACTGATGGAAGCCTACTGGGCCTCTCCTCCTGTCCTCAGGGCCCCTCTCGCCACCAGCATAGTAGCGGGCACCCAGTGAGCCCCCTTTCTTTGCTCTAGGGTTCTGCCTCTTCTTTTGTTCTCCCAGGGCTATTTTTAAAAACACCGAGGCCAGTTTTGCCTTCCTTGCTTCCCGGGCATTGTAGACTTTAAACGCTATGTCCACCAGCTGCGAGGGGCTCATTCCCAGTACCCCATCGACACGCTGGAGTTTGTTCCTGATATCGGGAGCACTCTGTCCAATAAAAGTCATGTTTACCATCCTCGCATTTTCTGGAGCCTCTGGGTCCACATCACTGTGTCTCCTGTACGCCCCATAGATCCTCTCCAGAAACTCGGAAGGATCCTCACCAGGCTTCTGCCGGAGGGACTGTATCAAGTGCAGGCCCCTCCGCCTGGGCGCTCCTCTCCTGAGCCCTTCCAGTATGCACCTTCTGTAGTGTTTCAGAGAGGCCAGGCCGCCTCTGCTGTTCGGGTCCCAGTTGGGGTCCACCCACGGAATCGCCCCAGCGGGGTCAGGGGTCCCCTGGGGATCCTCTTCCTGGAGGCGCTGGGCCTCCCGCTTAGCCTCCCTTAGAACCAGCAGTCTCTCGTCTGCCGTTAGCAAAATGTACAGGAGCGCCCGCACGTCGGCCCAGTTTGGGCGGTGAGTGGCAAAAATGGAGGCGACAAAATCTACTGTTTTCTGGGGATCATCCCTGTAGGAGGGGTTGCAGCACCTCCACCTCAGCAGGTCCGAAGTGGTGAATGGGGTGTGGGCCCAGTAGCAGCCAGTGGAATACACGCGATATGGCCTCAGAGGGCCTTGGCTCGCTACAGCGTCGGGGGCCTCCTGGTTGCAGGGGGTGGCCTGACCAGTTTGCGGGGCTAAGACACACTCTTCGGGGGCCTCCTGGTTGCAGGGGGTGGCCTGACCAGTTTGCGGGGCTAAGACACACTCTTCGGGGGCCTCCTGGTTGCAGGGGGTGGCCTGACCAGTTTGCGGGGCTAAGACACACTCTTCGGGGGCCTCCTGGTTGCAGGGGGTGGCCTGACCAGTTTGCGGGGCTAAGACACACTCTTCAGCGGGAGAAGGAGGAACAGTTGGCTTTGCAGCCCCCACCTCAGGGGCAGTTCCCAGGGGAGGTGGTACTGAGGAGGCCCCTCCCACCTGCAAAGAGGAGGGTGCCCTGGTAGAGACCCCTCCCACCTGCAAGGCTCTGTCCCCCGGGTTCTGAGCATTACCCTGAGCATTACCGGGCTTCATCCTCTCATCACCCCTTTCCTTCTGTGTTCTACTACCAGGGAGAGGTTTGGGGACCACCTTAACTTCCTGCACCATCACAGGACTCTCAGCCTCCGGCAAAACGCTGTTACACAGTGAGATGAACATGTCCAGGTAGGGGAGTTCCTCCCAACGTTCCCACTGTCTGCAATGCTGTTTCAACTGCCTAATGATGCAGTGGCTCAGGGAACCGCCCACAGGCCACCTTTTGCCGCCACTCAAAACATACGTAGGCCAAACTGTGTTACAGTAATAAATCAGTACCCGCTTAGACAGGGGATTCTTAGACGTCGACTTACAGCGGTAAGTCTCCCAGTCCCCTAGAATTCTACCCAGCGGGCTCCACTTAGCGGCCAGCTCAGAGCTGCTCTTATTGACCCGGCAGAACATGCACAAACACATAAGGAAAACACATACCACGCAGTAAAAGCCGCATACACCCCAAGCTACTGCCCACAACTCCAATTCCATTGTTGCAAAACAGTGCTCAGAAATTTTCAACCAAACAATTTCACTTCTCTGCTCCCTTCCCCGTTCCGTTTCCTTTTCACCTTTCCAGGTGTGAGTAGGCGGCCGATGCCCCCACAAGGGGTGCAGAGAAATTCTCAGAGACTGGGGAAATCCAGTCTCTCCCACACCTGAGGGGGTCAGTCTGCTACAAGCAACTACCAGCCCCACGTTAAGAGCCAGATACTGTTACAGAAACAACCCCCGACCGGGGTCTTTTGTTCTATGGCTCTTCCTTGCCCTGCCCGCTGGGAGGAACAGGGACTCCCAATGCCAGAGTTGGTCAAAAGGAAAGGAACTGTTTAGTTAAAGTTACACAGGTTTAGAATAATGGTGGGATTCTGCCCTTAAATCTCACTCCCTGTAGGAACGGAGATACACCCACACACATAGTCCTGCCCTCCCCCCCCTGCCCAGTCGGGCCAGTCCCAGAGCGGGCCAGTCAGAAGCACCACCTTCCAGAAGGAAAAAAAGCTCAAGTCTGCAGCTCACTCCTCCCGGTTCCTCCCAGTCGTCCGTGCTGGGCTGGCAGGTCTCCCGTGGTTCCCGGCACCACCAGCTGTGTCGCCGCGATCACGGTCTCCAGTTAATACAAAACCACGTGGCACCTCCTCATGGCTGGCCAGCAATAGTCCTTTCACCCCGTATTGACCCGCAGGGGCTGTGCATTGTCTCCCAACCCACCTGGTGGCCCGCCTTTTAGTTTAAATCCCAGCCTGGAACCTCCTGGAAACGCCATTTCCGACTCCTCCCACAATGGGCTACACCTGCCCATACCCTCCTGTTCTCTGCCTTCCTGGGCTGCCATCTTGAGTCCGGGCAGGTGTGGCCCTGTGACGTGAAGCCAACCGTCTCCAAGCTCTGGCGCAGGCGCTATAACCAGGGGGAGTTGCCTTTCAGCTACACTGCCGACCAGTTATGCATACCTTCTGGCTCCATTCTGGCTGGAAGATTAGGCTACGGTTATTGATATGCAAAAGAACTCTCTATCCCTGTGTTGCTACTTTTCCCAACGCCGAAACTAGGCTGGCAGGGGGCCCTGGGGCCTCTCTGCCTACACTCCGAGCACTCCCAGGCGTCCAGTGCAGGAAGGTCTTGCCTCTTCTACCTCCAAACTATCTCCACATCCTTTTCTGCTCCTGTGACCCCCCGCCAAGCCCCTGTATTTCCTTCCCGGACAAATAGGACTGCCTCTTGTCACTCTTGTCCTTGTCCCAGAAAAAAGAGGGAGGGATATTTTAAAAACATAACTGAGCCCATTGCTCTCCCCTGCTTGAAGTTCTTGAATTTCTTCCTAATTTTTTTTTAATTTGAAGCTCAACTTTTTTTTAAATCACTACTTTTTTTATTTTTTAAGATTTTATTTATTTTTAGAGAGAAGAAAGGAGGAAGAGAAACATCAATGTGTGGTTGCCTCTCAAGTGTCCCCAGCAGGGACCTGGCCTGCAACCCAGTCACTTGCCCCGACTGGGGATCAAACCAGCGACCCTTTGCTTCACAGGCCTGCACTCAGTGCACTGAGCTACACCAGCCCCGGCACTTCCTATCTAATTAGAATAAAATCCAAACTGCTTGCCTTGCCATGCTTAAGAGGCCCCTTATGATCCCACCTGTGCAGGGATGTCCGCCCTCTGCAGCCCACTCCTGGATTGTTGCCCAGGCTCCTGGGCTCCTTGCTTTTCTGGACCCATATCGCAGGCACTGAAGTGAGCAATACAAATTTTACTTATGAATATAGTATTGCACTTTTCACATGTTATATATTTCTGTTTACTTTATTATCTTCTTATCCTCATTGGAGGTCATGCTTGTCGACTTTTTTTTTAATTCTTTTTTAGAGAGAGAAGGCGAGGACAGAGAGAAACATCATAGGTCTGCTAGGACCGAACCAGCAACCCAGGCATATGCCCTGACCCACAATCCAACCCGCGTCCTTTCCGTTTACGGATCGACTCATCCAACTGAGCCACACCACCTAGGGCTCACAAATGATATTTAATCAGACGTTTTTCTGAAGCTTAACCAGGAAAATATTCCCCAAGAAACTTTTTATGCTTTATTAATTTAAGACCCACTCCTTTCATGATTATCAGCCGCTGTTGGCTTTCGAACTGTCTGGGGAGGTTTTAATACCCCGACGTGCCGGCCGCCTGTAACCCGCGGTCGGTGGCACTGGTCTGGCGGTGGGCCCGACCCAGCGGCCCCGGGCTGGAGCCAGCGCAGGTCGGTCTGGCGACCAAGGCGCCCTCTCGCCTTCGCCTCCTCACGCGCAGAACAGGCGGCTCCAGCTGCGGAGGGCCCGAACAGCAGGGAGCGGGCCCCTTTATCGCTTTCCCTCCCGGTGCCTCGGACATTGGAGAGAACGCAGCCCACGCTAGCAGGCGCTAGGGAGTTGGGGGAGCCATCACAGAACCGCCCTTGAACTCGGTTGACACCAGTGGCACCGCACCGAGCTCGCAGTGGCGGAAAGTGTAGCTTCCGGTTCAGGAAGACTTCTGGGAATCGCAGTCCGGGCTTGGCCCGCAACGGCCTCGGACAAAAATGAAATAAAATAGTGTGAACTACAGCTCCCAAGAGGCCCTGCTGCCCGCCTCGGGTACGGTGGGAAGGCCAGGGGCGTGGCCACTGTCCGGGGCGTGGCCACGGTTCCAGGCGCGGGGGGTGGTCCCTGTGAGGGGGCGTGGCCAAGCCCCTGCTTGCTCTGGTGCCTAACTACTCCAAGCTGCGGGGGTGGTCCGGCCACCACTCACCGGCTTTTGCCGTTCCTCACTCTCTTTCCTAAATCCTTCCGCGTTCCGCAATGCAGGCTCCGAGGTCCACGGGCCGGTTCGCGGCGCGGAGCGACGCTGACCGGATCCCCGCTGTCAGGTCGCAGGCAAAGGCCGGAGCCTAGAACAGAGCTGCTGCAGGGAGTTCGGGCAGAGAGCCTCGAAGGCCGCGGACAGGCGCTCCGCGTGGAAGTGGGGAGGCGAGTTAGGTCTGCTGCCCAAGGCAGGTTAAGGATGAGAAGAGTGTGCCTGGATTCGGTCGGTGGGGAAGATGCCCCAACGGAGAGCTAGAGCTCATGGACTTGCTTGGGTGGAAGTGGGACGACAGAAAAAGGAGAAATCGAGGGTGACTTCTAGATTTTTTTCCCTCTAATCTCTGGAATGCCGGGAAGTGGCAGCGACAGGGACAGTCACAGCGTGTTTGAGGGGTGAAAATCAGTCGTGCTTCTTTTCCCCTCTGGCTTGTGATGCCTTTCGGGCACCGAAGTGGAGACACTGAGTGCACGCCACAGAGAGAGAGCAAGGATGGACGTGGGCACCTGGAGGAAAGGAGCCAAACGGGCCGGTTGGGGGTTCCGGGCACCCAGCCTTGGACGAACCCACCTCCACAGGTCGGCAGGGGAGGGGCATCTAGTACAGGCTGAGACTGGCCAGCGAGGTGGGCCCCCCTGAGGGCTGGGCGTCCTGGACACGGAGAGCCCCACGGTGCGGAGTGCTCTGCTGGGAGGCTGTGGTTAAACTCAGGGACACAACCCCTGGATTTGGAGACATGGATGTGCCTGCAGATGTCGACGAGGGCGGTTTCAGTGGAGGGGTGGGAGCAACAGCTCGGTGGGAGAGGAAGGGAAGGGGTGAGAGGTGCGGAAGTGGAGGAGGTGAGTGGAGATGACACTTTCAAGGAATCCTGCTTTAGAAAAGAGAAAGGATGCCCAGGCTGACGGGGCACGTTGGGGCCAGCGAGGGCCCCCGCTCTCCTTTTTCCCAACTGAGATTATTACAGCCCGTTTTTAGGGCTGTGGGGATGACCCACCAATGGAAAGCGACATTTACAACGCAGTGAAGGGAGCAGAGTCACTGAGGTCAGAGGGGGCCAAAACCAGTGCCCTGGGGAGAGGCTGGCGCCACAAGGCATCACCTGGAAGGCAGAATGCCCAGGCAGTGGCGAGGGCGGTTCGGTCAGCAGGATAATGCCCCCCAAGGATGTGCACACCCTTGTTCCCAGAACCTGTGAATGTTGCCTTGCATGGCGAGAAGCTTTGCAAATCTGATTATGGACTCAGGACATCACCAGGGGCCTTAAAAGGAGAGGGAGGTAGATGCTGCATTGCTGACTTTGAAGAGCGAGGAAAGGCCACTAGCCGAGGAGTGTAGGCACCTCGGAAGCAGGAAAGAGAGTAGTTTACCCTCAATCCTCCAGAAAGGAGTGCAGACCTGCCTCGATTTTAGTCTAGTAAATCCTACCTCAGATGAAAGAACTGCAGGGTGATACATGGGTGGTGCTTTAAACCACCAAGCTCATGGCAGTTTACGGCAGCCAAAGACAGGTGACAGTGGAGGATGCGACAAGTGAGGGGAGGAGAGGGAATGGTCCCTGGTTGACGCTCTCCCATGGCAGCAGAGCTCACGCAGTGGCCTGTTCTTCTGTGTCCCTGTGGACACGTACTACATCTGTGGGGCAATGAAAACAGTCGCGGGAATAACCATGCCACCTTCTCAAGCCCTGTCTGACGCATCTGTGTCCCTCACCCCACCTCTCAACAGCTCACCCTTGGTCGCTAAAATTAAGCTGCAGCTGAGGCCTAAGACTGGATCACAGGGGACCCGCTTGTAAGAGGGCTGTTAGGAAAGTTGTTCTGGATGCAAAGGTTTACTAGATAAGCGATGTGGGTGTCAACCCTGAATTGTCACACTCTTCCCCAGCCCGGGCACTGCTGACCCCAAGAGAGAATAGCTGCTCTGGGGCCCTGAGGAAGATGAGGGGCGAGGCTACGGGTGGCAGTGGCCGGGCTGTTAATTGACTGAATGCCAGCTGTAGGCCTGGTCCAGCCCGAGGCAGTCCCCCAACACCCCAGCCGCCCACCCAGCACCCTCCCCACAAGGTTTCTGACCTCCAGGCCCAGCACGACCTCCAGTCCAAGTGGCCTGCAGCCATGGTGACCTCTCTTCAAGCCATGAACTGGGTTACCGAGGTCACTGGCAATAGTGGAAGCTCCCTGTCAGTCAAGGGAAGTGACAACCCAAGTGGGCTGACATCCCGCTCACAGATCCTAACACAGGTTTTTGAAAGAAACTTCCAGACCATATGGCTACCAGTTCCTGGGGACTCGCGAACTGGAGAGTGGCCCGGGACAGGCTGCTTCCCTATTGCTTGGTTGCTCTGCAGACAAACCCCCTGCCTGTGGTACCCACCACCAGGCCTCACACACCCCAGGCTGAGCAGACCAGGCCTGAGGACCCACAGGGGAAACCCACGAGGTACTGCTGGCACCAGGAGCACTGCCCACTGTGCGGCACGGTGTCCCGTCTCCACTGCACTCCACTGCTCCCTCTGCCGACCAGGGTGAGCATTAAGTACAGGAAAAACGTGCTCAGTTTACTATTCACATATCTGACACATTAATGACATCACCTCATTCAGTCACACTGCAGAAAGTAACTAACACTCTGAAGTCCTTTATTTAATAGATCAGAACACTAGATAGCAACCTAACAAACTCAAGTGTGCTAAATGCAAGGCGCACAGAAAGCCCAGCTTCTCTGGCAGCTGGGGGCGGTTCTGCACCTGTCTCCACCATGTCCTAGCCGAAGCAGCGAGTTCAAGCTTCTGCCCAGGCAGGGCTGCCAGGGTCAGAGGTCTCCCTCTGCCCTGACACTTGTTCCCCGCGCCGAGGAGAGGCTCAGCTCCACTGTGGTCACCTCTGCCCCATATCCACACAGTGTCTGGAGAGCGCTGGAAACTCTGCAACATTCCTCCTCCTGCCCGTAGCTCCCTCCCTCCACCCTCCCAGAGGTGGGGCACCAGAAGTTACTCCCTGAAGGGCAGGGCAAGGGGCCTGGATGGACTGGCCATCAACTAGGAGGGTGGATAGCCAGGACCCTGCTCCACCACATCTAGACCCCAGGGAGGAGGGGGTGGCTGGCAACCAGGAGAATGACGACGGCTGGGAGACACGAGCGGACCGCAAGGTGCTGGCCAGGGCCACGGCTGGCTGGCACTGGTCACCAAGGCCTCCAAATGCTCTGGGCCACGTGGGCAGTGGTAAGGCTGCCCAGGGCCTCAGGCACCAAGTCCAGCCCCTCAGCAGGTGCACAGCTCAGTTCAGCCTCGGGGGCCTCCTCCAGGTCGGAACACGGGTCGTCCCCAGAGGGTGGAGGGCTGGGTAGTGGGGACCCCGGGGCCCCTCCTGTGAGCCAGCTGCTTCTCCTAGGGGCTCCCTGGGGCCCTGCCAGAGCGTCCCCCAACAGATCCCGGAAGCTGCTCCCCTCGTGCAGAGGCATGGACTCCAGCAGATGGTTCAGGAGCTCAGCGGCAACGGTGGCGTCGATGGCCTGGCACGTGGACACGAACGTGTGCACCTCATGCATGCACTGGATGTAGCCGGCGGCGAAGCGCTCGCTGGCTTCTGCCTGCAGCTGCTCGAGCCCTGCACCCAGAGATGGGAGGGAAAGAGCCATGTCCCCACCCGCCTGGCCAGCAGTGACCTGGCTCACCCAGGAGACGCTGGGGCATGCCCTGCTCCTCGGTGAACTCGAGATGCCGACAGCACAGGGGCGCCGGGCCTAGAAATCCTACGCCCCTGCCAGGGGCAGGTGAGCGAATGCGCCCCGCGTCCCAGCCCGCAGGTCCCGCCGTCACTCACCGCGCGCCCAGCCCCGCAGCGCGCCCTGCACGCGCCGCACCGTCAGCTCCAGCACCTCGGCGTTCTCCAGTTTGGCCTGTACCTGCGGAGGCGGCGGGGACGCCGGGTAGGGAGAGGCAGTGAGGGTAGCGCCGCGACCCCTACCCGCCCACTCGGCTGTCCCTGGGCACCTGCCCGCCCGCCCGCCTCACCTCGGTGTCGGCCAGCAGCAGCCGTAGTTCCTGCAGACTCTCGTTGATCCGCGCGCGGCGCTTCTTCTCCACCAGGGGCTTCCGGGCCTGCGGGAAGCCGATCACTGAGCCCCAGCACCGCGCCGCCCCCCACACGCTCGCACGCCCACAGCTCCGGCCAGCACCTTGCGGTCCACTCGTGTCTCCCAGCCCTCGCCATTCTCCCGATCCGTACGGTCCCATTCCCGGGCACCAGACGCCGGGGACCGGCCCATGATCCGCACCACCCACAGTGCAGGGAAGCTCCTCAGCGCGGCGCCCCTCGCCCCGCTGTTGTTACCACCGCGACCAGCCTCCCTCTATAGGCTCTTCCGCCGGCCCTGGGGCCCCGCCCCTTTTATAGCGCCTTATTTGCATCTCAACGCGCGGATTGGCCGCGTACTCCAGGAGTGGCTAGCCGGAGGCTCACCGCAGCCAATTGAAGCGGTGCGCTTTGTGCAGCCCCTCAGCCAGCAACGACCAGCAGCTGGTGGGGCGTGGCCCCCAGCTGGGCCCCAGCGTGACCCTCGCGGGGGGCTGCGGCTCTTGGGTGCGCTGGTTTCCCTCCCCACCCAAAGCAAAGCCCCCCAGGTCAGCTGAGCGTGCGAGCAGCTCATCCACCCACCCATCTCCATTTGGGTTCCCAGATGCCTCCCCAAAGGAGTGTTGTGCGCGGGCGCGCTAGGTCCCGAACCAAGTACGGCAAAGCCAGTCAAGTCCGCGGTCTCCAGTCTGGATGGGACCCCGGGTCTGAACTGGTGGGGGCTGCAGAGCTTCGGGGAGGTGGGAGCTCATGTTGCAACGGGGGTGGGAGCGAGCCGTGGCCCCCTTGAGTTCCTTGCAGGTTCCTGTGTCCAGACGCTGCACCCCCTTCTGCAGCCTTCACCCTGTTCCGGGATCTGAGCGGGGCGTGGTTCGCGGCCGCCAAGCCACTGCTCCTCCGGGCTCCCCTTCTCTGGTCATGCCCCTGTACCTCTGTCCTTCCCCCTTCCAACCCCCCCCCCCACATCTACCCGTTCTTTCCTGGTCCTCATTCCCATCACCGCTCTAAGCCCCCACCTTCCCCGAACGCCCTTCGCTCCTGTGGCCCCCTTTGACCTCCCCTTCTCCCCTTGGCTCCACGCCCTTTCCCAGTCTCACTGCTCTCTCCCCCATCTTTCCCTGCTCCCCCCTACACCCCTCCAGTTACCCACCACCGCCTGCCCTTCCCTGGTCCCCACTCCTGCTTGTTCGCCCTGCCACCCCTCCCTCTAGTCCCCTTCATGCCCCCCCCCCCCCGCCACGTCCCCCTTCGGCTCCCTTTACCCCTCAGCCCCGCCCCCCTCCACACACACCGCTCCAGGCTCCTGGAGGCCGCCGTCTGGACCCCGTAACTTGATGCCCGTGACAGTTGGCAGCTGCAGCCGCAGCCGCTACGGCAGAGAAAAGCGGCGGCCGCGCCAAGAGAGACAGGTGTTGGCCGCTCTTTTGTCTCTGACGCCTTTGTCCCGCGGGCGGGCAGCGGGCGCGCCAGTGTCGGACAGACGGCCGCCACCCCCGCCGCGGGCGCCCATCTGCCTGCCTGGCCTCCCAGCGGGTGGGGGAGCCGCGCCCTTGGGTATCACCCTGGGGACCTGAGTCTGACCCCTGGTCCCCCTGCCCACAGCCTACTTCTGCACGGCCAGGGAGGGCTGGAAAGCCAAGCTGCCTTCTGGCCTTCACCTTATGCCTGGAACACTCTCTGCCTCAACCTTCCCTGGCTGTCTCCTCCCTGTTCAGGCCCGTTTCCCTCATTTTCCTTGTGGGGGCGCTGTGCCCCACCGGCCCACTGCACACACAGGATTAGGACTGTCAGGGTCCGGCTGGCAGCCCCCACCCCGGTCGAGGGAAAGTCCCAAGTAGGACCCCCATCCACCTGGTCTGGTAGGAGCCCTGGGTGCCTAGGGGATGAGCAGGGGACGACCTGCCAGAGAGATCTGGCCGGTCTCCAGGTGGCTGTTTCACTTTAGGCTCCGCACCAGAGGGACCTCCACAGGCAGAGCAAGTTTTGTCAGAGATCTGAAGGTTCCCCAAGTCACCTCACTGAACGCTGGGAGTCCCTGGGGGCCCCTTGCTCTGAGTCTCCCCTACCCCTGGTCTGTGCCCCTCGGGGGCCTTCCTCAGACCAGCACTGCTCACCCAGGCGTGCGCCTGGTCCTTTCTTCAGTCACTCCTGTTGTCCTCCATCTCCCCTGCAAGCCAGAAAACTCAGCTCTCTTCCTGCTGCCCTCCCCTGGTTGCTCAGAGACCAACTGCCTTTCCAGCCCCACACCTACTGGGGCACTAACGGGGGTGGGGGAGGTGGGCCCCTAGTTGGCCTGTATCTTTACTCTTCCTTACCATTTACACACCACCTCAGGGAAGGAGACACCCCAAGCCCCCCACATGTAACTACAGGTGAGTTTTCACTACTTTGAGAAGTGGAAAAATAAACTCGGTGATCTCTCTCATACTGTTCCCTACCCCTCTCTTTGGCCAGTATATTATTTGAACAAGGCCAAATGTGTTCTAGAATGCTCTCCATGGAACATAGGTCACGTTCGTACAGGATAATCAGAATGCTCAGGGCAAAGATGGGCAGAACACCTGACTGGACAGGGTGCCGAGAGGGGCGCTGGGGGACGAGGTGACAAAGGCTAACGGTGCAAGCCAAAAATGAAAGGTCACAGGGAACTCCAGGAAATGCAAACAGGAGACCCCCGAACAGAATGTGATGTTAGCACGTTGTCCCGCTCAGCAGCCACTTCTGTCCCAGCCACGGCACAGATCATGGGGGTCAACTTTTAGCACCCATTGGTAGCAGAGCAAGGAAGGCTTCCTAACAGTCACGGGACCTGATATAAAGTTGGCCATAGAAACCCATGACAGGTGGCTGTTGTCAGAGAAGGGAGGAAGTGAAGGGAAGGCTGGGACCTGGGGGCCTTGTCTGGCACGGGGTGGGGGGTTCGGAAATGCCACCAAGAGTTGAAGGAAGGAGAAATTACGAGCTGGGGTAGGGCTCAGTGAGCGAGTGCCCTGGGGGGGGGGGGAGCATGAGGAGAGAGCCGGTGAGTCCCGGGCCGGCCTGGAAGTCGCCCAAGGCCCTGTCTTTGGGGTCAGCCTCAATCTCCCTCGGTGGGTCCACTGTGTGGTGGGCGTGGCTGTTCCCTTCCAGATGCCTGGCTGCCCCCTAGTGAGGCCACCATGCCCTCACTCCCTGCCTCACAGGGCCTCTCTAAGCAGAACCGCTGCCTGCCGTCTGTCCCTTGGACTGCCCCCACCTTCAAAGTCTGCCTGCCCAGACTTCCTGAGCATCTGAGCCCTTTGATCCCCTCAGATGCAGGGACGAAGGCCAGCAGACCCTGGGCAGGGCCGTGGTGTCCACAGGGACCAGACAGCAGCAGCTCTAGCAGTGGCGGCAGCCCGTGAACCCCAGGGGCACAAAGGCAGGGGGCAGCCTGCGGATGTCTAGGTCACTTGTGGGCACTCGACCTGGGGGCCTCTTAGTGCCCACAGGTTTGTGCTCTTGGGTTCTATGGTCAATAAAAACCCAGGCAAGTGTCCCCAAAGGTACTCAGAAGTCCGGCGAAATGGCCACGTCTGGCCACTGAGAGGCTCTGCTCACCCAGAGGACTGAGCCATTGCTCCCCCTCCCCTCTGGTAAGAGGTAGCCAGGCCAGGAGGTAGAGCCAAGCCCTCCCTACTGCTTGGAGAGCTTCTGGAAGGCTGGGCCCTGGGTCCAGGACCTGGTCATCTTCCCGCTCTGACGCTCCCGGACCCCTGACATCGTTCTCTCCCATTCTGGCGAGGCCCCAGATGGCTCCATCATGACAGAAGGAAAGCCAGGGCCAGCGGGGTGGGGGGTGATGGCGCTGTGCTGCCCGGTCACCTCTGACGGAGATGGGAGGCCGCCCTGGGCCTGCGGTCAGCCCACGTGGTCAGGCACCCAAATCGGCGCCTGGGGTCCTGCGGAGCCGGGAGGAGCTCAGGCTGAGCAGAGCACCCTCATCCCAACCTACCTGCAGGGCAAAGACCGGGAGAAATCGAGTCCAGGTCACAGGCTCCGGTTTTCCGTCCCAGGAAGCCCACATGGCAGGGGCTGTGGGAAGGGAAGTGTGCGTCGCAGACGCATGGGACCAGAAGGGACAGCGCCGCGCAGGAAGCTCGCTGCGCAGGGGCGTGGCCAGCGGGGCGGCGAGGGGGCCTCCGTGAAAGGAGAGTCCCCAACGCGGAACATGGAGTTCTGTCTTAAAAAATCTTCGATCATCTTTAATTATCTCTACTCAGTTTTCTCCCAGCGTTAAAGGCTCACACAAATAAAAATAAAAATATACTCGCTTTATTTACCAATTTTCTAAAAGGCAGAAAGTCATAAAAAGACACAACAAGCAGCTGAACGACGACTGCACTGGGCGGAGGAAGCTGGGTTTGTGCACGAGCGGACCGCGGTGCGGCCACGCTAGGAGTCGCCAAGTGGCCTCGGGGGCGTTTTCCATCTCCGAGGGAATGTAGTAAAAAAAAAGGCTCAGTTTAAAAATCGAGGACGTTTTCAGAACACCCGTGTAAGCTCACAGACAAAGGAAAGACGACTCGATACATGGCGCCGTGTAAACAATGCCACAAAATGCTCCTAGGGCCGGCCCCTGCGCACGCGGAAGCTGCACAGTGCGCGGCACTGAGTGTATAGCGCTGACGGTAAACATTCACGACGGTAGAGAAGGTTTTGGCAGTTGGTGTTTGCGGGACACCAGTCCCCGGGTGACGGCCTGACTTCCGCAGAAGGCAGGACGCAGTTGGCAGCGTCTCATTCCCACACGCAGGCAGGACTGCACGCAGAATGTGGGCGCCTGGAGGTGAGAGTACTTTGTAAAACAAAGCTCGACAGTGTTTCGTGTTTGAGTTTCTGAAGAAGAGGACTCATTCAGGAGCAGGACGGTCTGACTATGAGAGCCACCGGGCTGAAAGGCAGCTCCGCGGTCCGGGCTGCTGCTTGCCCATCTGGGAGCAGGGGAGCCTGCCGCCTGGTGGGTCCCCACGCTCAGTGCAGTTGTGAGCTGATTCTCATCAGCTTGTGCTTCTCTTCATTCCAGGGACCGATGATATTTCTCCCACACAGTCTCTGGTGCATATGGCCCAACGTGAGGCTCTGCAAACAGCCGGGCAGAATGCCCTCCCTCTTCCCCAAGGGTCCCCCTGGCCTGAAGGTGCCAGAGGCCCTGGGGGACACCACTGCAGAGACCGAAGCCATGCCGAGTAAAGGAAGGCTCATGAAAAGGCTGGGGCAGGAGAGGCAAGCTCACTGCACCAGCAACAGACACCATCCCGAGGGCCCCCTGGGTTGGTGGCTGCTCTGCCAGGGCCAGAGCGGGTGTCTGGGGCGTGTCAGCTGGAGAGCAGGGGTGGGTCCTCAAAGCCTGGCCTGCAGACAAAATCGCCTTTGCAAAGAGATGGTCGACCACCTGTTTCCATGGACGTGCTGGCTGGGGTCCGAAATGGAGCCAAGGATGACGCAGAGACACCCAGGAGGGCCAGGGCGAGAGTCAGAGGGAACTGGTCATGAAGCGACCAGCCTTGGTCTGGAGCCGGCTGCCCCAGGCAGCTGCCGCTACTGCACCCGAAGCCAGAGCTGCCGGTTTGCTTCACACCATTCGATGCGATGCATTTGGAAAGTAAGTCGGGAGAGGCTGTCACCTCCACTGGGTAGTTTTAAAAATACCTAGTTTGACTAGATGCTACTCGAGATAAAAAGCAGCCCCAAGAGAGGACAGGATTTGAACTGCACACTTGTCCCTGGCGAAGCCCCGCATGGGTGCGTCTCGGGACACCCCATGGAAGCTCAGCGCGGCCCTTGGACTCCCCGCGCCTCCAAGGGCGGATTCAGTCTGAAGCTGCATCCCAGCAAACTCTCTTCCCCGCCCTCCAAGTCCACATTTACATTTTAAATATAAAAGTGTATTTTCTTCCAAACCCTTCCCTCCCTCCACAGTTTTAAGTTACCCCTTCAAAAAACGGTTTTGTTTTCTAAAAGAAACAAACAGCAAAAAGTATGTCCGTCCATCTCCTTGGACTCTGGTGTCAAGCTCTGTCTTCTTCCATCAGCCTGGACGGGTGCTGGGAGTTACGTCTGCCCCTCACATCTGGGGCTCAGGGTGGGCCCATTTTCCTTTCCTTTGGGGTCCGAGGCTTCGCTGAGTCCTGGGGGAGGGCTGTCTTCCTCGTAGGGCAGACGGAAGTCGCTGTCTCCCCGGCTCTCACAGTAAACACATTCCTTAGGAGAAAACGTGAACTCAGCACGAATGATAACCTCGTTCGTGCCGAGTGAGGTGCGGGTGACCGGGTGTGAGCCGTGAGGCCGTGAGGCCGCGGAGGATGGCCGGCACCCTCTGAGGGGACCCCTCCGCAGCGGGAGCCCCCTGCTCTGGGAGGAGGTCAGCCCTGCTCCCTGGGCCCCTGCGTCCCACCGCCCTGAGCCCCGGGGAGTCTGGGCCCTGATGGGAGAGGCGGCTTTGCACAGGCACAGGGCCCGCCCCCCGTGCCTCTGCCGTCCCCCACAGGCCTGGAGTTCAGCGACCAGCTTAGGTCTTCTCCTCCATGAAACTGGACGCAACAGCACAAGGGGGGAGGGACTCATCCCCCGCACAGCTGAGGGGGTGCTGTGCAGGGCAGACAGGGCAGGAAGGGTGGCATTGCAGCGGCTGGAGGACACTGGGACCTGACAGGAGTGGGCACAGGGGTGCAGACAGGTATTCAAAACACTTTGTCAACTGATTTAAGAAAGAGAGATCAATTTGCTGTCCACATATTGATGCATTCATTGGTTGGTTCCTGGATGTGCCCTGACCGGGGATCGAACCCGCATCCTGGGGGACTCGGGAAGGAATGGAAGGGGCAGTGGAGTTGGGCAGGCGTAAGGAGCGGAGATTTACTACTCCTGCTGTTCCTGAGTGGCCCACATGGGTGTTCGGGTCCACGATAGGAGAAGTGTTCTTTAAAGTGGGAAACAGAATAGAAAAGAAAACTCAGACTTCGGCACGCAGTGGGGGTCGGATGCTCGGAAGACCTCTGGGGAACGACGGGAGGGGTTCTCCGAGGCCGACCGACAGTGGGGCGGCATCTCTTCCTCTCTGAGCACGGCGTTAATCTTGGGGGTCCCGTGCAGAGCACCGAGCGCACCCACGCAGCCCGCTGGGGCACCACCCCACAGGGCAGCTTACCATCACGTCCACGGCCTCAGGCAGGCCGCCCGCCCGCACCCATGGGTGCACCTCCTGCAGCTCCTGCTTCTGCCCCTCGGTGAAGCGGGGCTGCAGCCTCCGCAGCAGCCTCAGCCTCTCCCTGTCCTCCTGCAGGACGGCTTCCGGGTCTCTGCTCGGCGAGGAGAGACGGGGGAGTGTTAGGACGAGTGTTAGGACGTGTGCTCCTCTACAGAACACTCTCGTTTTCTTCCATTGTTAATGAGGAGTCTCGGGGACTTTTATTTCATGCAGATTGCCTTTTCATTTAAAACAGGTCACTCTTGTTAAGGTGACTTAACATCTCAAGTGCACAACTGTGGTTCTGTGAAAACCACAGTCCCAGGGACGGTTCTACTTTCACTTTAAACTCACGGGAGCTGGGTGTCCGCAGGCACTTGGTTCTGCACAGGGTGGTGAGTCTGGAAGGTTCCCGCCAGGAGGCAGTGGGGAGACTGGCTTTCCTTGCCCCCTGCCAGCATGGGTCCCCCCAACTGAGGGGCCTGGCTGCCCTCCCCGGGACGGGGCTCCACAGGGGCAGGGACCCCGAATGTTGCTCGGGGCAGCCTGAGCCAGAGTCACAGCCTTGGCACAGCCCCAGGCTCACTACGGAGCAGCTGGCGGCTGCAGGCTGGTCACCCACCTTGGCCCATGGGTTCTGCCTCTCTAAGACACAGGCACCCCTGTCCCCCCGTGGGGTTACCGGGCAGCAGGACCAAGGAGGGGGGGTTGGCACAGACGTTTCACCAGTGTCCAGTGCGACCCCCGGGAGGGTCTCCAGAGGCCTGCGGCACTCCGTTCGCTCTGAGAGGCTTTCAGAGGGAAGCCCCCCCACTGGTGACCTGGTTTGGGGACCCCCAACCCAGCCCTGCCCGTGTCCCCAGGAAAGGCCAGTGGGCAGTTACCGGGAAGGCATCTGGTACGTCATCATGACGCCGTCGTCCACGTCAGCCATCAGCAGCCAGACGGGGTCCTGGAGGACGCACCTGACGGAGCACGCGCCCACCTCCGCTCCTGCTCTGTGATTCTTCTCCGAGGAGTCGATGCTGCCGAAGTACCTGCTGGTGCGGCTGGTGCTGCTACTGCCTTTGGAAACGGGGTGGAGGCTCAGACCACACACGCCCAGGCCGACCTCGTGGGCGTGCGCGTGGGTGGACACAGGCTGGCTGGGGGCGGAGAGGCCTGTCTGGAGACCTGCGCCTGTGCTGGGGGGGCTGCCCCGTCCCCAGTTCTCAGATGGCCTGGACCACGAACGGGACACCGGCTCGTGCCACAGGGGGGCTCTCCTGGGGAGGCCGAAGCAGCCCTGGCGGAGCCCATCTTAGAAGTGACTCGGCCTTTCCTGCACTCAGCCCCTCGCACCAAGCCAGGCCATGGAGACACCGGTTTGGCCTCATCAGCGAGAGCCTCTGGAGGGGGCGAGGCCAGGGGGCGCCCGAGAAGGGGAGGCTCACTGGGGACGGCAGGGGCCTTGGAAGGTGGGGAGGGCGCCTGCCCGGTAGGTCGGGTCCAGATCATCCTCCAGTGACCCGCTGGGTACAGCATGTGATCCAGACACTGGGCTCCCCAGAGAGAACCAGCTCAGGAAGGGGAACCCTGACTGGCCCTCCAGGCAAGCAGGGCTGCAAGTCCTGCCGTGGGTGACATGGAGGTGAGTGGGTATGAGGGACAGTTGTGACTGGGGAGGGCCTGCCCAACCCCTGGGGGCAGAGCACCTGCCTGCCCGTCAGAACAGCGGGGGCCCTGAGCTGGTCCCCGTGGGCCTGGTGGCTCTGGTGCAGCCGGGCCCCACAGCGTGGGAGACCTGCAGGCTGTTCAGGGGGGCCCCCAGGAGAGTCTTCAAAGCGTACCCCCAACCCCAGAACTCAGGCTCCCAGCAACACCCACAGACCTGCCCCACTTCTGGACACGCCGTAGCCCAGTGAGCTGGAGCCCAGGGAGTCGGAGGTGGCGGAGGCCCCGCTTCTCGACAGGGCCGACTCCTCCGCCGAGCAGAGGTCCTCGCGCAGCAGGAGGTCGAGCAGGTCGCTGGCCGTGGAGAGGCCATCACTGTTCTGGGCGTCTGAGGGCTCCTCGTGCTTTGGGGACAGGGGGAAGACACCAGGCGGGGCCCAGTCAGGACCAGCTCGGGGGACTGCCTGCACAAGGTTGCTTGGGGACAGGGCGGGCCCTCGTCTCCAGGTGAACCGGCTGCAGCCGTGGGGACTACAGGGAGACGCCGGCTGCTCCACAGGGTTCTGGGGGAGTCACACGTGGATCCCAGGGTGGGGAGTGGGGGGAGGCCTTACACTTGTTCCTGCAGGAGAGCAGCCAGGAAGGCAGGGAGATGCCCCCCATACCAAGGCCGCTCCTGGGGTCCCCCTGGAACTGGGCCTATAGGCGAGACCCCAGCAATAGGAGTGGGGAGGACGGCAGGCCCACGGGAAACCAGCATCCCAGGAACGGAACAGGAGCAGCGCTGCGGCGCTCCGGAGGCGTGGGAGGATGGGGCAGCCGGCCGGGCTTCAGAGCCCCCGAGACACGTCCCAGGAGAACGGCTGCCCCCACGACCTCGGAGGAGCTGAGTTCTGACATTTAGCCCAGCTGTGCTTTGTCCCCGCACTTGCACTGGGAATCTCAAGGCCTGTGAGAACAAGTGGCCAAGCCACCCGGGCCACGTGGACCTTGCACTCGCCCTCAGACGACCAATCTCCCTTCATCTAGACCCCAAGACAGTACAAAGCGCCCCCCACCCGTGTCTCCTCTACAGGGGCATTTACCTGGAAAGCGTTAATCGGGTAGGTACGTCAAACTGAAATACCTGGTGCGACCCTCACCTAGAAAACACCTGCATCTGAGAGGAGGCAGACCTACCGTGGGGGCTGCAGGGCCGCCCGCTGCAGCGAGAGCACGGCAGGGAATCCTCGTGGTCGGCGCCGCCGTCAGCGGCCAGTCCCGAGACGGGCTGGGTTTGCAGTCCGGTCCCGCCGTCCCCGAGGCCCCTGCAGCCCCGGGGCTGCCCTCGGGGGCCTCCTCCAGCTGCAGCAGGTTGAGCTGCAGGGGTGAGCTGCCTCGGGACTGGAAAAGTGGTGGGGAGGCCCGGCCGGAGGGCCCGGTGGCCGACAGTGGGGTGGCCGGTGTGGCCACACGGGACACAGGTGGCCCATGGTCTGCCCGAGGACAAGGGCAGGGCTGTCTGCGGGGTGAGGTCCGACCAGGGAACTCAGGCTGCGGGGCAGGGACCATCTGGCTGGGGAAGAAGCCCGGCGGCAGGTTCGGGGTCACCGGGGGGAAGGGATAGCTGGGTAACACCAAGGCCATGACTGGGGCCAGGGGGGCAGCGAACGGCGGGGGCTGCACTGCAAACTCCTGATGAGCGTCTGTCGGCATAGCGGGCACCCCAAAGCTGGCGTGGGCCTCCATCGGTGTCGCGGTCACCGTCCCAGGCGCTGGCACGATGCCGGGGGCCGGGAACACCGGCAGGGAGTAGGCCGTCACGGGGCTGGGGAAGGGCGCCGCGGGGCAGCTGGACTGGGACGTGTCCGAGGGCGACCAGGCTGTGGCGTTGAGGCCCACCAGCGGGGGCCGGTGGGGCACGGGCCCCCCCGAGCCGGTGCTGTCAGAAGAGTCCCGGGGCTTGACCCGTTTGGGCTTCAGTTTCCTGCTCTTGCTGGTTTTTTTCCAGGACGGGTCTACTCCAGAGCCGCTCCTCAGCCCAGGGGTGGCTGCAGTGACGGAAAAACACGCAGTGTGAACACCTGACCCTGCACGTGACTCCTGTCATGCCAGCTCTCAGAGACCTGCACACTCCACAGCTGGAAGGTGCCTGTTAGTTCAACAGCCCATGTCCCCAGATGTCAGCCTGGGGACCGTCGGGCACACCGTAGGGTCCCCTGACATTCACTACCGTGAGAAAAGTCAGGGCAAAACGCTACGTTTTTACGAAACCAGATTCAATCAATTTAAAGGACCACTGTTAATTGCAAGATCACATTTCTTGTTTTCTTCTGCAAGTAAAATGTCATTTCCTTTAAGAAGTAACGGCAGTAACACATGGGATCAAAAAGGTCTTATTTGTCCAAAGGAAGTTAAAAAGCTGGCAATTCTGCGCTGTCCCCCAGTACTGGCTTGTGAAACCTGAGGTCGTCAAAGCCGATCGATCGGTCAGTGTCCTCAGCTGTCCCACTGGAGGTCCCCGTTGGACAGAGCCAGCCAGAGGGTCTCCGTGGCACTGGCCTCGGAACCAGTTTCTGCCTCTGAGGACAAATGGCTGGGATGAGCCTTCTCCAGCGGGAGGGCCTCACCCGGTGACAGGAGGGGCTCTGGGCACGTCTGCCCACCTCCCCGGCCTGGGCCAGCACCGGGAGTCCTGTCGGCTGGGGTGGGGGGTGGTCACGCCAAGCTTGGCTGGGATGGGCAATGGGGTGGGTGCCAGGAGTTTCTCCTCTCGAAAAACACAGGGCGACTCAGGGCTCCCAGAGCAGGAGTGTGGGGACACCTGTCAGCTGTGCTGGGGGCCCCACACCTTTGCCAGGCCGAGGCGAGCTGCTAGGAGGGTGGCGTCCTGTGGTTCGGGCCCTCTGGCGGGCATTCTTCCCGTGAGAAGTGTGTCCCCTGGTGAGACCGGTGGCTAGGGCCCTTGGGACCCCAGCCCAGGGTCTGGGAGTCCCTGCCCTGCACAAACTTCTGGCCACGGGGGCAAGGAGCTGGGACTCTGTATCAAGCCAGGCCCACTGGGGGCTGCCCAGGGTTGGGGGCAATGCCTGTCTGTGGTCTCCTCAGAGGTTCCCTTGGGCCTGGAGTCACCCCAGGTCTGGGGAGGCAGGAGGGTGTTGGCCTCTCTCCCGGGGCAGACGCTCACTTCCTGGTGTCTGCCCGGAGACCCAGAACAGCAGGGCAGCCCTCTGCTGCGTGTCTCCCAGCTCGCCGGCTCTCAGTCTGGGCCAGGCCCAGGAAGCCCAGGGAAAAGGTGGCGGCTTTGATTGGCTCCGCCCTGTCTGTGGGGTCTGGGAAAGTGGCTGGGGTCAGGAGCCAGGCTCCTGGACCAGAAAAGGTGCAAAGAAGCCAGTCTGCGCTCCCTCATCCCTTGCCCTTGAACCAGCTGGTTGCCCTCGGCCTACAGGGCAGCTGCGAGCACCCACGGGCTCCGTCTGGCTTCAGAGGCGTCAGCCCGGGCTCCCCCCGCCCCCAGGGGCCGGCCCCAAACACCCCTCGGCACCATGCTCACTGTCTTTGCAGTGTCGGCTGTGGCCTGCCTGGGCCTCTGGGAGCCCTGTCTGGGTGGGCTCGTGGGCTGGGGTCCCCTGACCCTCTCAGTCACCCAGGCAAGAAGTGTCTGATGAAGCTGAAGTGAAACTACCGCCCTGCACTCCATAGGGCTGGCCTGCAACTGTCACCATGTTTACGGTGCCGCTCCCGTGGAGACATGAAATGACAAAGTCTCCCCAGCCGTCTGACAAACTTGGGTGTCCTGAACTGGGGACACTTCATACTTTGAAAGCCACACTGGACTCAGCACTACTAAAAATAAAGCTTTCTTTTTTTCAATCCCCACTTCGTTCAGGTACCACCACCTACCTCTTTCATTCACCTGCCCCCGGGACCTTTCTTGTAAGTAGTAATGGCAGCGAGAGTGGAGGACATTGAGTTTCCTTGTTTCCTTGAACTTGAGCAGGAAGTTCTGCTCCTCCTTCTGGGTGTGGGCAGCCAGCACCTCTTTGGTGAGGCCCAGCCTCCTGAAGGGCTCCTTCTCTGGGCTGAGGCCGCAGGGCAGGGTGGCCCCTGCCAGGCAGTCCGGGGACTCAGGCCCACTCACAGCGTCGTCTGCCATCTCTGCGGGAGTGGACACAGACCTCCCGTCAGCAAGGGCCTGTGCACGTGGCGTTAGGGAGCAACTGACGGCCCCACACTAAGATCTCTGACACTGAGAAGCCCCCCAGGGCACATCCCTGTGGCCTTCTGAGACAGCCCACAACCAAAGGCAGACCACGGTGACAGCTGTCTGGGCTCCAGGGCTCCTTAGGCATCTTGGGCTTCCGTCTCTGACGACAGGGCCCTCCCTGGCTGTCCTCGGCTTTTAGAGCACAGCAGTCTGAGGCTGCTGTGGGTCCCCACCCTGTTGCAGACCACGCTTGGTGGCCGGGCCACCGAGAACTGGGGCCTAGACAGGACGGGGCAGGTGGATGGGACGACCGCCCTGGGAGGGGACTGAACACCGCCTGCCACGCATGCTCTCTTCCTGGCCATCTCCCTCTTCCCGGCACAGCCAGTCCGGGGCCTCCTGGGGCACCCTGGGGAGCCACTCGCACAGGCAGCCCTGGGCCGTGCCTCCCTGCACACCTGTACGTGGCCCCTTCCTGCCCTCACGCAGGGAAGCGGAGACACTGAAGGGGTGGTTAGGCCCGGCAGGGCAAGCGGGGACGAGGACACAAGTTCCAGGGCCGTGTGGGCCCAACGCCTAACAAAGGGAGAGTCCGAGGGCCCTGCAGGGTCCTGGGAGGCCTGGGCTCCGCCCCACTGCACCCCTGTGCGTATTTACACCTGAGCAGAAGCGGCCAGCAGGTGGCGCCAGAGCACAGCGGGATAGGACAGGCGGGGCCCCGCCCGCCCCACAGGTCCTCAGTCCCGCTTGCTAGGCTGTGGTAGGTTCTCCCGCAGTGCCTACACGAAGAGAACTTTTTAAGGTGGCGGCCAGAGCTTCCGGTTTTCACCGCGAACACCAGACGGCCTTCCACGCCGCCCACGCCCCGCCTGCGTACCTAGCTCCGGCTGAGGCTTCTTGTCGCCCACGTGCACGATGGTGCTGCTGTAGCTGCACTGGCTGGTGAGCGACACCACGCTCTCCGCCTTGCCCGGCAGCGTCAGCGAGGTCAGGTGCGCGCTGACACCCGCGTGTCTGTCCACCCTGGGGGGCACTGCCGCCCCTGCGAGAGAACACGAGAGACACACGGATGCAACAGTGACCCTTCCGCGTAAGAAACGCTCTGGCTTGCCAGGCCCAGGACCTGGGAGACGCGATGGTCTGTGCACACCGTGGAGCGAGGCGAGTAGTCCCCGAGTGCTAATGCACCGGGGAAGGTGGCCACGAGGACATCCCTCAATGGGAGCACCTCAGCTCTCACACCCCGGGTCCTCTGGGGGGCAGGTGGCTGGGCCCGGCTGGGCTACAGGGGGCCCAGCTCAGGGCCTGGAAGGCGCGTGGGCAGGGGCCACTCAGGAGGCCAGAAGCCAGCTCGCCCTCCCTGTGGGTGGGCACAGACTGCCCGTCACAGCGTGACTGTCCAGCCACCCATTCTTGTCACAGTGGGGCCCGATTTCTGACCACAGCGATGACCGCCAGGGACACGCACACCATTTGAGCCGCCTGAGAGGTAGTCAGCCTGAGCTAACCCTCAGACAGAGGAAGTGGCCTGCCGGAACCGCCCTCGGGGCTCCAGGCCTCGGGCAGCCCCCAGGGCTCCCGTTTCGGAGTCCAGAGCCACGGGCACCTCTCATTGGCAGAAAATTTGCTGTCGTCTCAGCACTTTGGTCATTTCCCAAAGAGCCTGCACCCACCACTGTGTCCCTGCCGCTGGTGAGGCAGTGGGAGGGACGAAGGGGTCTCGAAGCCTCCTGTGATGCTGGCTGTCATTGTGGGGTCTACACAAGCCACGCCATGGCCAACCCCCAAAACCCGTACCGGCAGGAGGTGGCCCGGGGCTGCCTCTGGCCTTCCGCTTGTCGCTGGCCTCCTGTGTGGCCATGCTCCCTGGGGACTCGCACTTCCTCTTCAGGGTGGTGGCCTCATTGCAGCTCTCCAGGTACCTGCAGGTGGAGGGGGGAGGTCACAGACAGCTTCACCCCACAGCTGGCTGAGACTGGAGGACGGTGGCCTCTGAGGGGGAGGTGGCAGGCACCCGTACCTGATGACACTGTCCAGGCAGCTAATCTGCTGGTAGGAGCCCGTTGGCTGGCCCTTGCAGGCCAGCTCTTCTGCAAAGGCAGCTGTGGGTGGGCTGGCGCCCGGGCTGTCCTTCTCCAAGTCCCGGAAGGCTGTCGCCTGAGCGGGGGACCCACTCTGTGCACCTAGAAGAACGGCAACATTGCTTCTGTCAATACTTGTTGTCCCCAAAGAAAACCCTTCGAATATTTCTACCTAAAGGTGAGGCTGGGGTCCAGACCGGGCGTGGCAGACGCCAAAGCCCAGGCTTGGGGGGGGGGGGCAGGAGCCACTGGGCTGTCTGAGGAGGGGCCTGAGGCTGCAGTCATGGGGCCTGGGCTCAGTGGCACTTGGTCTGGGCTGGCCCCAGGGTCAGGGACTGGGCGGTGGGAAAGGCCAGGTCTTGCTTGTGCTCCTGGAACTTTGGGGGCTGTATGGTCAGTCGGTGTCCCCTGGCTCTCAGAGGTCCACCAGGCCCAGCACAGCCTGGCCCCAGGCGTGAGGAGAGGTACAGTGGCCTGAAGGGCACTACCGTCCTTGCCCTCAGCACGCGCCCTGCATGCTGCTCCCCTGGGGGCCTCACTTATTAGTGTCCCCAAGGCCCACCAGCACAGGGACAGAAGCACATGCCTGTGTCCTAAAGACCAAGGACCCTGGTCAGAGGTGAGCTCTGGCCCTAGGTTCTCTCGGGAAGCTTCTGGGAGGAGGGCGGCCCGATCACAGAGGGCAAGTGAGAGCCCCCGGGGCGGCTGCCTGGGGCGCTCTTGTGCACGTGTGGGCACAGGGCCCCGGGCCACGCTGCAGGGCGCCGGGGTCCGCACAGGAGCACAGCCTCGTGGGGAAGGGGCAGGGCCCTGCTGCCCGAGGGATGGGGCCTTCCCCACACGGTTAGAAGGTGCACTCCTCACTGACCACGGTGGAGGTGACAGCCAGGAAGGCCTTGCCAGACAACAGTTTCACTAAAGGGAACAAGTAGTTCTTTTACCTGTAGGAGATTTCTCCTTCTGTTCTCCAAATTCATCAGAATAATGACTTTTGGACTTGACCTTATGACCATTTTTGGGAATTGCCTTGAAGAAAACCAAAATGAACACATCACTTTCCTTCAGAGACCCTGAGGCCCCGCTGCCACCCCCGCCGGGGGGAGGCTCTGGGGAGACTCGGAGGAAGGAGTGGGACCCATGCTCCAGCTCTAACATGCAGGGAGCAGAACGTGCTCCCCCTCCTGCAGGGAGCTGCCCTCTGCCCCCTCTGCCTGCTTTCAGAGATTTTCACCCAAAACTTCCACCACAGTTCTAGCTGCTTCGGCTCTCAAGAGCCGATGGCGTCAGCCCCGAGCACAGTGTTCAGGAGCAGCCTGAGGGGCCCGGTCTGTGGGGTGGGGGCCGGGACCACAGAGAGGGACCTACGGCTCTCCGCCGGCACGCCTCCTCGTGGCCGTTGCTGTCGCTGGAGGAGGTCTGGCTCATGAGGTGCTCGTGGGAGCCGTTGCTGCCCAGGCTGCCGTAGCCACTGGAGCCGCAGTGGGGCACAGGCTGCAGGGAGCAGATGGGAGGCCTGGGTCCAGGGCTGGGGCGCTGGGGTTGCCCCCCACCCCTGTGGCCAGGGGCACAGGGAGGCCAGGAGCCGCCCAGGGGCGCCGGGCGAGGGCGAGGGGGTACTGCGTGGGGGCCCAGGGTCAGGCTGCACCAGCCTCTCAGCCTCCACCTGCAACACCAGGGTCCCGGACCCCAGCTTGTGGGGAGACCCCACTAAGAGGGACTCCATTCAGCCTTGGGGTCCGAGCCCTGGACTTGTGGGCTGAGCTGGGGAGTGGAAAGGGCGTCCTGCAGCTGCCAGCCCGGACTGCAGGTCAGGGACACACACCCCAGAAGGGCAAGGCTGGGGCTGCCCAGACTTGGCTGCAGGAGTGACAACTGTCCAGACCTGGCACAAACCCCACCCCCACCCCCCACACTGTGGGGGAGAGAACAGGCCCCAGGGTGCAGGGTGGGGCAGGGCGAGGTGAGACCCAGGCAGGGGAGGGGCCCCAGGACCCAGGGCAGTGCTCAGACTGCCTGTCCGGCGGGGGCTGTGGTCAGCAGGGCACCCACCTGCAGCAGCAGCCGGTGGATCTGCTCTGTGAGCTCCTGGACGCCTGCTTGCGGGAGCTGCTCTTCCGCACACGGCGGGGCGAACACATCCTCGTTCAAAGGGCCCCTGTGTGGGTTTCACCATCAGTCAGGCCTCCCTGCACACCCCTGTGGGGCTGCCCCCTCCCAGCTGTGCCACAACCGGGGGCAGGGATGGCCCCCCTGGGGTGGCCCACCAGCACGGCCCGGGGCCCCGGGAGCACGCACACTCTGACTCGGTGCCGCCCGATGATGAAGGAGATCTTCCGGCTCCAGGGGTTTATGAAGCTGGACCAGCTGCTGTCCAGCGTGACGTACTCCCCGTTCCGGGCGCGGAAACGGAGGGGCGAGTAGTCAAACGGCTGCCCGCCGGCCTGCACGACTGGGAGAGGAGACAGCGTTAGGGGCGGGCAGCAGCCAGGCTGGAGGGAGGAGACCCGCTGAGGTGCCCGACCAGGGCGGCCAACACCTGCCCCGAGCTGCGGCCCTCCGGCTCCCGCCCAGCTTTCGACCACGGCAGAGGGCGGTTGCCAGCAGTGTCCTCCACATCAGGAGCCCACGCACTGCCGGCTGCGGCTGGACTTCTCCAAGCCCCGCCTGGGTCTACGAGGCCTGGGCTTGGGGCACACCCGTCGTCCACCACCCCAACTTGGCCTTTCCCTTCCCGCCGAGGTGGGCCCTGGGACCCCTTCTCCCACCTGCCAGGGACACCAGCAGCGAGAGTGAGGTGCTGCTCAGGCCGTGGACCCAAAGGGAAGCCACAGACGGAGCCGGGACTGGGGCGGGCGGCGGCGCCCGTCGCCCACACGCTGCGAGTGGGTCGGACCCGTCCCTGCAGAGCACCGACCCCAGGACACATCCGGGCACACGTCGCTTTTCTCAGAGCCCTGGAGGTGGGGGACAGCGTGAAGGGGACCTACTCTTCCTGTGGATGGTGAGCATCAGCGGCCTGTCGCTGGGGTGCAGCTGCAGGAGCACTGGGGTCTCGACCAGGTCCTGAGGCAGGTGGCCCAGGAGGGGGACTGCCCTGCAAGGCAAGCACACAGAGGGCCACCGCTGCAGCTGCGAGAGGACATGTCCCATAGTGCGGCATCCCAGCGGGCCAGCTGACCACGCCTGAACTGCCCGTCTGTTTATGGGGAGAGGGACAGGCTGCAGGCTCCCCGGGGATCGGAACTTGGGGACCAGGCCAACAGAGCAGCAGCCTGTTGCTCAACGGCCCCAGGAAGGAGGACAGCGCCCCCGGGGCCTGGAGGACAGCGCCGAGCGCCTCCGCGTCCCAGCTCCTCTCCTGGGAGAATCCGTCTTGCACGCGCTTTCCCTTCTCTGCTCTGCAGACCCTTCTCTCTCTGTTTCCAAGTCTGGCCAGGCATGGCCTGGCGCGGGTGCTTTAACGAGTTTGGGGCCTGGAGACACGTCTGCCTCTTTTCCTGCTCTGGCCCCTCCACGGGGGCCTCCCTGGTGTCACTGTTCCAGCCCGGGGGGCCGTCCTCTATGCCCACCGGTCTGGTGGGAGCTGTCAGTCTGTTTTCCGAGAAACGCTGCGTGTGGAAGCTCTGCAGAGCCCTCCTGCCCCTGCCGTCCCCCGCCCTGCCCCTTCTCGGGAGCTGCAGCTCAGCCTTCTTCCCGGCCCGAACTCGAGTCCACACAGATTTCCAAACTCTTCTGCTCACGTGGAAGGACGCTCTCCTGTGAGAGTCGGAATGTGCCTCCGCCCCCACCCCCACTCCCCGGGGTGCGGAACTCTCTCAGGCCTTGTGTTTTCCTTTGGCCGGATGTACAGAGTGTTCCTGATGTTGTCCTTGCTCCAGGCCTGGCCGATGGGGGTGGGGGCTTGGTAACAGAAGGAGGGGGAAGGGGAGGGGACAGGGGGAGGAGGCGGCGGCAGCTTTGCTGGGGGTGGCCGAGTGGGCGGTGGGCCCACAGCATCCTGCACAACTGCTTGCCAGCCCTCCTTCCTGCAGGAGGCTGAGTAGACTCCCCGGCTGGGCTGCAGACAATTCTCCGACTTTTGGAGGAATAAAAGTTTTCCTAGTTGCCTTGCAAATGCAGCTCCCAGGCTCCACCCTCAGGGACCCTTGTCAGGCAGGGCTGGTGGGGCGGGGGAACCTGGGCCCCGAAGCTGCCTCTGCCCAGCCCTGCCACAGGTGGCCGGTGACGTGCCCCTAAGCAGCAAGGAGCTGGAGGCTGCTGGTCCCTGGCGGTCCAAGAGCAGAGCTTTCCCAGGAGACCCTGTGGCCTGCACTCAGGGGTGGGCAGTAGGGAGGACCTGACCCTGGACGGCGCCTGTGGAGGCGACCTTGGCCCGTTGCAGAGAGCTCAGTGTGCTCAGGGGGCCTCCCGTGTGTATGCCAAGAACTCCCCTCCCCGACCACAGCCCGCAGCCCACGGCGCTTTCTGTCTCTACGCATCCCTGCCGGAGGAGCCGGGAGCGGCACACAGGGGCCCTGGCCCTGCGCCAGTGAGCCCGGACCCTCAGGTGTCTGGACAGTGGGCACGGGGCACCCACACATGTGCGGCCATCCCAGGGGTGCCGACCCCACCTGCACCGGGGCACAGTCGTGTCCAACTTGGAAACGAGAGCCCCCCCCAGTGTCCCATTCTCAGGGTCACGTCTCAGGAGGCTTTTGGCATGATCTCCAAGTATCTCATTGCCTAAGAGCACGTGGGCGTTTCTGTTAGGCTACAACGAGGAACACGCAGGCCCAGTACCACCTTCACTGAGCTTCCTCCATCCTGAAGTGGCCACTGAGACGAGGCCACACTCCGAGTGTCTGGGGAGGGGCCTGGGGGCCTGAGACACGCGTGGTGCGAGGGCACGGGCAGCAGGGACAGTGCCACAGGGCTTACCTTTCGTCTACGTCCTGGAACACACAGCTGGGTGTGTGTGTGGTCGTGAAAACCCTCTTTTCCGGAGGAATTCTAGGGGCTGAGAGAACAGAATTCAGCTCAAATGTCTGACTCTGAGAAACACGTACGTAAAGTGGTGACAGAATGACAACCAGAGGCTGCGCAGCCTCCGAGTGACCGGTGCCACATAAAGGGGACGGGGGCTTGGCAGCCACCCACTGCTCTGGGGACCAGCCAGGCCCGGCGGCCAGGGGGCCCGTTCACAGGGCCGCGTGCTGGTGCGTCGGCTGCTCGGGGAACCCGGCGGCCGGGCCCACGCCCAGGCTTTTAGGGTCCTGCGAGGTGAGCTGGACAGACTCTTTTCTGACGCTGAGTTCAGCGTTTGGACTCGAACTTCTCAGCCAACGTCCCCGTGCCGGGACTTTGCCGTCCCCAAGGTGGGCAAAGGCAGCGTGCACCATGGGAACCGCACATCCAGATCTCCGCTCAACCCCCAAACTCATGGACAAAATATTCAAAATTCCAGCTGTTACCTTCACGAAGGAGACGCTGATCATTTGGGGGAATAACCTGCTGAAATCTAAGTGACCCTGTGACCCTTCCTGGGATGTTTGGAAGATAACACTCTGTACGCAGGGTCCCCTCCAGCAGCTGGCAGAACGGTACACACCCAGAACATTCCTACCGCTGGGAAAACACCCCTGTGGGAGGCGCGGCAGCCCGCTGCGGGGAGCGCCAGGGCACAGTGGGCGAGGCCCCGTGGTCTGGGCGGCGCCTGCCATCAGGTCATGGGCTTTGCTGAGCTGCCACAGTGAGACCTGTGGCTCCTGGCCAGGAGCTGTGGCTGGTTTGAAACCTGTTGCAAGCTACTCAGGAGGGTCACCAGGAAGATGGGATCAGGATGGCAAAGTCCCTCAAAGAACCCAGATCTGGGTTTTTGGGGGCAGGAGGTGGCCTGCAGAGCTAGGAGGGCTGGGAAAGGACACCTGGTGAGAGACCCCACTGAGGTGACTGGGTGGTGACAGGTGGGGATGGGGCACAGCAGGAGCAGAGCTGGGGGGTCTGGGGCTGCCTGTGGGCAGGAGCCGGCAGACCCGGTAAAGGCACTCCGGCCGAGGAGGGCAGGGAGGAGGCTTGCGCTTTCTCACTCAGGGGTGGGGGCGGAGCAGCGTTCTCAGTGGTGCTGGGGTCCCCAGCACGGAGGGCCCAGGGGTGAGGCCCGGGGGGGGGCACAGGAGAGGCAGGGACTCAGGCGCCGGACCTGTCAGGGCTGCTGCCACTACACGGACAGAAGGCAGTGACTGGGGAAGGCAAAGGACCCGTGGTCACGGTGACGGTGGGAGCATGGGTGAGAGGTGTCAGCATGCAGGCCTGGGACTGTGGCCAGGAAGGCCAGGTGACACAGGTGGGCGTGCTAAGTGTCGAGGGACAGGTGGCTCTGCCCAGGGCCCGGGGAGCTGGGCTGGAACCTCCCACAGATAAGGGTCTGACCCACAGCAGGGACCGGGGACCAGAGCAGCCCGGGCAGCCCACGCCTGCCATCACCTTCATAGCCCGAGTGCACCCTCTCGGCCAGCAGCACGCAGCACAGCTGGTTCTCGGCACCCTGCTGCTCCGGCACCTGGGCCAGGTACGGCGTCATGCGGAACGGGTGGTAGCGGACCTCGTTCTCATGGCTCTTCCCAGCGCTGGAGGGAAGGGCACCATTAGAGGGTGGAGTCAGGAGGAACGTCCCCTTACTGCTGGCTGTCACCTCTCAGCAACCCCTTCACTGGCGGTGCAGATGCCCGCCAGGTGGAGCTGGACAGCTGCCCGGGGCTGCAGCCGTGTCCCTCCCCACTGAGGAGCTGGGCCTCTGTCCCGCCCTCGGAGTTCCCCCGACACGCAAACCTGAGTGGCCAGCCCCGGGCAGTGAGCAAGCCTGGAGCCCACCTCTGGAGCCGTTTGCATTTTAACGGGGGGAGGGATGTTGCTCCAGCAGTGGGGTCCCGGCTGCTCCGGGCCCCACTGTGTGTGGGGGGCGGCCCTCTGACACTGCGGTGAGGTGCTCAGCCGGTTCCCCATTTCAGGCCAAAAGCCTGCTGGGGAAGCTTCTGGGCTTTCCCGGGAAAATGTGCTTTTTCAAAAAAACACACACGCGGAGCAAAGCCTGCACAACCCTGGGGGTCCCCGGGGTGTGCACGTCTCCCCAGGGGAGGCCCTCTGGCCCTTCTCCAGGTGCCGGACAGCAGAGCCAGCCTCCGCAGGCCCTGTGAGGAGCTCGGGGAGGACCGAGCTGGAGGGCTGCAGGGATGGTCATGCCGTCTTAGCCCCACATGTTTAAGACGCAGCAGCTGGACCAGGTGCTTCCACCCACTTTGCAGGCATCCACCTGCTGCGTGGCCCCCGGCCCCCAAGACCAGGTGCAGGTGGGATCAAGGCCCTTCCCACCTCCGGAGAAGCAGGGGCGTGGGGAGGTGCCTGGGTCCCCCCCGCCTCCCACCAAGGCCTTGGGGCGAAATGGTCGTGCCGTTTCCAGTTTAGGAAGCTGGGCTTACCTGATACGGCAGAAGAAAGACTTTTCCTCCACGCGTTCCTGAGTGAAAGAATCTGAGAGAAAACCCCCAAGTCAGCACCCAAGACACCGCTAAGCGCAGCTGGTGCCCCGTGTCCCCTGCACCCACGCCCGCCGCGGTCAGAGCCGAGGTGAGGGCTGACCCACCCAGCTCGGGGCCTTGGGGCGCTCCCTCCCAGCCCTGGCTAAAGTGGAGTCTCGTTTCACGAGCGTGTCGCATCCCAGCGGGCAGGCAGGGGTCTGCCACTTTGGGGATGGTACCGATGCCGCCAGACACGCTGACCGACCACTCAACTCTGGGAGATGCGCTGCCCGCCAGGCAGGACCTTCACACATAAAGCCGTAAACATGGCGACCCACCTATCTGGGGGGATATTTGGTTCTGATAGAAACAACGGCCAGACTTTCACAGCTTACATCAATCCTTTCACTAACTTCTTTAACAACACGCCCAGCAGGAACGGGGGGCAACAGGGTGACCCCAGCACAGGCGAGGGGAAGGGTTTCCGGCACGAAGGGCGTTTGGATGCCGACCGTTCGCTCAGTCGTCTCCCCTACGCCGCAGAAATGAGGGAAAGTAGTTCAGTCACCAGACGGGGAAACGGTGCGAAATGACAGGCCGGACAGACCTCCAGGACGTCACCGGGCCTTTCTCTCTTACTCAGGCAAAAACTCGTCACACCCCTCAGGGACAGAGGCCCCGGGACACGCCCTGTGCGCTCCAGCGGCCTGGCCAGATGGTCCTCGGGCGGCATTTTGGGAGCACGGGGACGGGTCTCCACCTGGAGCCGAAAGCCAGTGTCCTCTGCCTGCCGGTCACCCGAGAGCCTGCTGCACTTCTGGGCCCAGGACGGTTGCCGTCGGCAGGGACTACCGTCCCGCTGCAGCGGTGACCCAGAGAAGCTGGCCCCTGGGCCGCATTTACAACTGAGCCCTGTCTGTCTCCTGTCCACCCCTCTGGGCCCCTGGGAGCCTCTGGGCCTCGTCTGCCCTCAGCTCTGCAGTCGGAGCCCAGTGCGGGCAACACTTCACTGGGGGGGGCGCCTGCTGGCCACCCTGGGCACTGCAAGCTAGAGGGGCTTTGAGGACGGCCTGGGCTGCCAGGGCCCTGAACCAGGTTTCTGCTGAGTCCTGTCTGGTCACCTAGTCCCCCACACCTCCTACGGGCAAGACCCGCACGGGTGCCGGGGACGCTGTCCAAGCTCTCTGGACTCAGTCCCACTGTCCCCCTGCAGGTGGCCATGGGCACACAAGGTTAGCGGCGGGAGCCCCCTCTGTGGACGCCCCCAGACGTGCCCCAGCCCACCCACACTCCGCAGACCAGGCCGCACACCTGCTGCTGAAAGCCAGGTCACCTGCAAAGGCCTCCTGCATCTCAGGAGCCTCCGCGATGTTCCCCGCTCTCTAAAATTTGTGAAAAGACCACCTTGCTCCCTATCAACTCTGAACAAACACCTCTGGGCCTCTCACTGAGGACAGAGGGCGGTGATGGCCTGGTCTCTGGCTGAGGAGAGGCGGCCCGTGCCCCCCCGCCTGCGCCCGGGCCGCACCTGCCCCGCTGCGGACGCTCCAGGGCGGGAGCCTGTACGGCGTGGTGGAGCTGTGGAACACGCTGACGTCATGGGGCGCCAGGAACTCCACGAACTTGGCGTCACGGAAGGTGTCCCTCTTGCAGTGGAAGATGGAGGCCACCTGGTCAGAGACGTACAGGACTTTCCCGGTGACCAGGGACACAGCCGCAGCGAACATGTCCTGGAAGGACGCACACACCAGTGAGAGTGGGCGGGGCCTGACGGGAGGGGCGCTGATGGGGCGGGTGATGGGGCGGCTGGGCATGGAAGGTCCGGCGGGTCCTGGGCCCCTCCCTCAGTTCTGACCAGAATAACCCTACTTCCCTCCCATGCAGCGAGGTCCAAGCAGGACTGTTTGAAGAACAACATCGGGGTTCCACTGCGAAAAGCAACCCAGGGGTGCCAGTCCCCCAGAGATGCCCATTCAGGACTCTTGGGCATGGAGCCCCCAGTGCCAGCCTGGCTGATTTGGAGGTGGAAGGGCCATGCTCCCCTCTCCCTCTGTCACCGGGGCTGGCGTGTTCCTCCCCTGGGGTGCCAGGGGCTGCTGGGGGCTCCAGGCCCTTTGAGCTCAGGGCTGCGGGGGACAGGGGGTGCTGGAGAAAGGGGGTGGGCAGTGCAGAAGCCCAGTCACCAGGCAGCTTTACCTGCCCCGGGCTCTGCTCACTGAGACCTGGGGCTGCGGGGCACGGTCAGCCTGCGCCCCTCCCCAGACCTCCGGGGCCCCTCCTTCATGAACCGGTGGATGCATGAGCTTTGCAGCCTCCTGAAGCTGACTTCCAGTCCTGGGGCACCACCCACAAAGCCCGAGCAGTGACCAAACGCCCCCTGGTGTGCCCTCACCCCGAAGGGCAAGGCACGTGATCGAGGTGGGGTTGCCTTCCCATGTGGGAGCACAGGGTGGAGTGGCAAGGGGCTCTGCTCTGGACCACTGACTTCACATACTTTTCCTTAAGGTCTGAACTCACTTCCTGAGACTCCACACCGCCCCCCCCCCCACCCGGGAGCCAGTGGCCAGGGCGCGGGGCTCGGCAGAAGAAGACTCACCCCGTTCTTCATGATGAACTCCGAGGTGACGCTCTGGATCTCCTCCAGGGTGTAGGAGGGCACATCCGCGCCGCACGCAGGCTTCTCGCTGGACATGAGCAGCTGGTAGTACTCCTCGTTGGCTACGGAGAGACCGGGCACAGTTCCGTGACACATGGGCGAGGAAACCCCCTCCCCGCACCGGGGAGAACGGTGCAGGCGAGACAAATCAGGAAGCCTTCGGTGACCGAGTGTTTCAACAGGAGGTGCACATCATCCCAAACAACACGCGCCGAGTTCCGGCCCAAGCGCTGTGCCCCGTGAGGGCGTGGGTCCGGGGCTGCATCTCCGCTCCTGTGCAGGTCGCCTGCGGCAGCCCCGGCTCTGCCTCCCGGTGGCCTGACCCATGAGCACAGGTGCGCAGGGGACCCAGCCTAGAGACAGAGGCGCCGTGGGGAACTGAGACCCAGGACACGGGCACCTGCCCAGTGGTAGCACCCAGTGAAGGGAGGTGCTTAGGGGCTCCGCGTGGACGGGTGGACGTGGAAGTGCCTGAGCCCAACGGTGTGTGTTTGGGCGACAGCGGTGTCTGTTCCCAGGCTCTTGGCCGGTGGCTTCTGCACCGTGTCCTCAGACGAAGCCCCCGGCCGTCCACCCCGGGCGCGGAAGGACGTCCTGTGCTGTGACCCAAAGGGCAGACGCCCTCTGGTGGGTGGGGGTTGGGCTCTGGAGGCCCGTCTCCAGGTGCACCTGCAGTGGGAGGGGCGCTGTGCCCGCCTGCCTGAAGACCACCGCCATGACGGCTCAGGCGCTCCCCGCAGAACGGAAACAGACAGCCCGAGGTCCCCTGTGCAGCAGCTCCAAGACGCTGCCTTCCCAGGACACGTGTGTGGCCCCGCCCTGGGGCCCTCAGGCCATCTTTCTCAGGTGGGCCGGTCCTCCCTCAGCTGCTGGGGGTGGGGAGGGGCTGCTTCAGTTCCATTCCCAGCTGCTCCCATTGCCAGGCGGTCAGGGCCCACCATCTCTGGCTGGAGCCTGGGGGACTCGCGCTGTCCTTGCCGTGCCCCGGCTCCAGTCTGGAGCACCAAAAGGGCACCTCGTAAGTGGGTTTCGTTTATTTATCAGCTGGTGCTCTCCCTACTCGTCCTTTCCCTCCGAGTCAGGCGCCTGTGAACGGAAGCTCCCAATCGGGCAGCTTTCCGGACTCCGAAACCCCTCCCTCTGCATCAGCTGGGCTCCAAGGCCCGCCCAGGCCAGCTCTCCTCTGGGCGTGAAGTTGCATCTACAGGTTGGAATGGACCCACCAGGCAGACGTACCTTTCACCTGCTTCACGCTCCTCAGGGCGTACTTCAAGGTCGCCAGCGTGCTGGCTTTCCCCTTGGCCTTCTTGTCTGCGGGGAGGTGGACCTTCAGCTCCTTGAGCGTCCGGATCAGCTCCTTGTGCGTGTCGGCTTTGGCAGACTGCTCGCTGCTGCAAAGGCAAACAGAGAGGCGGTGAGACACCCGCCTCTGGGCCCTTTTCTGCAGAAACTCGCGTCTGGCCCGGTTTCTCCCCCAGGCCCAGGACACCTCGGTCCACATGGCTCCTTGCAGCACTCCCGGCCTCGCCCAGGGGGGCAGCAATGGAAACGGAGCTGCTGTGGCCAAGGCACTGCCAGTGCTCGCTGGGCCTCCAAACGCTCAAACAGGCGACAGACACTGTCCTGGAGCGCCACTCACAAAGATGGACACAAGACAGCAGGGGGTACAGCCAGCAGGCTGGAGGTGAAGACACTGTTTCGAATTAGCGCCACCAGGCGCACCTGCCAGAGAGAGCCGCCCTCCCTCGGCTGATGTGATTGCTCCCTTCCCTGTCTCGCAAACAGCCCTGGCCTCCCCCCGCTCGGGGCACTGTTTGGGTTTCTGCCAGCATCCGTGCGTCCTGAACTGCTGTTCTCTGCACTCTCAAAGGAATGCCTGCCGCCTCTCACTCAGGCCTTTTATTTTTAGGTTAACACCTACTGGGCGCCAGCAGCACCCTCACTGGTTGTGACAATAAAAAGTGTCTCGACAAAGAAGACTTGCCCCGGGGGGGGGGGGGGGGAACCACTGCTTCAACCCAAGTGACAAGTCAGACACCCTTCCAGCTGGCTCTTCTCCCCTAAGTGAGGTCTGCCCTGCGCCCAGAAAGGCCTGCTGGTTGACCCAACACCTGGCCGAGCTGACCCACAGCTGAGCTGGGCCTTCCCTGTCTGTCTCGGCTAGAAAAGGGTCACGTGATGCTGATCACGTGATACCAGTGGCGTGCTGGAGCGTGGGCGAGCCCAGGACGACCCAGAGAAAGGAAGAGATGGAAGGAAGGACCCTCGGGCTGAAGGAGCAGAGCCAGGGAGGAAGGGCGGGCGGGCGCCTGCTGGGGGAGGCCGGCCTGTGTGGCCCAGAAGGCGCCAAGAGAACCACAGACACTCTCCAGGGTCTGGGTGACTCCAGGAAGTGCCCTGTGCCCAGGACCGAGAGCTGGCTGTTGTTCCAGCTGTGACGATGCCTGTGGGTGGGAAACTATGGGTACATCTGTCACAAACACCTCAACAGGCTGAGGATGTCCAGTGGACGCCTCTCAGATGCAGACAAGGCCTGCTGGGGTGGGGCTGGACGGGCCACAGACCCAGAGCAGCGTGGGGGGCCCTGGGCAGCACTTGGGGACAGACAGCCAGTGTCTGAGGGGCTAACAGGTTCTAGCAGAAGCGTAAACAAGTCATGTCCCCCCGAAACTGGACCGCCAAGGACAGGTCTCGGGGCCTCACCTGCAGCCGCTGGTGGAAGTGTGGTGCTGGGACTTCGCCAGCATCAGGCTGAAGGCGTCCGGACTGCAGGGGCGGGAAACGGAGACAGAGCTCAGAGACCCCTGCACCGCATCCCCCCACACACCCGCGGGGACAGGCTGGGTCCCACCACAACAGGAGACGTGCAGTCAAGGTCCGACAGGAATGCAAGACCTTCAGGGACCCCAGGCTAAGGGGGCGAGCCCGTGCTGTCTGCCGCACCCACAGGTGGGACGGCGGCCCCGCCACACCAGCCGTGGCAGCAGGATGAGGAAGGGCCGACCCTGGGATGTTTTAGTCATTCTAAGTTAACAAGATTTTCAAAAATCTGGAGAAAAAGCCAATCCTCACGATTTAAAGATGGCAAAGCCGCCGGATGATGGCAGAAGTGAGGCCCCGAGGAGACAAACGGGGCCCCACCTCAGCGGCCGGCGGCCCTACCTGCCACGGGTGTCTGGCGGCCCCACCAGCATCCTCAGCTCCTTGCCGCTGTCGTCACAGTCGCTGCCCTGCGAGTCCCGTCCCACGGAGCTGTTCTCAGTGGCCTCGGTCCCGCTCGAGCCGCCGCTCATGTCTACGTCCTCTGGGAGCGGGGCCTGGCTGGGTGTGGGCTCCGTGGGCTTCTTGGTGGGGCTGCCGGGGCCGGGGGCAAAGCTGGCAAACCCGTTCATGATGGCCCTGAAGGAAGCTGCCAGAGGAGAGACACGTCGTCAGCTGGAAGATGCACCGTGGCCACTGCCGCCATCACAGGGCCCCCCGGGGTGGGGGGCCTTCTCTCTGCTTTGCCACGCGAGTGGGTAGTTGCCGGCCACCTGTGGGCATCACCGGGCTTTCTCGTTTGTTCTCAGGGAGGACCGCCGGCCACGAACTAGGGAGGCAGGGGATTGGGCAGCCTCAGCCCCTGACCTTGAGTGGCTGACGGCCTTGCAGGAGGTGACAAGAGTGTTGGCCGCCACCCAGCAGAGGGGACTTTGGGGAATATGCAGACTCCCACTGAGTGGCTGGCGGGGCCGGAACCCTGCAGGTTGTCTGGGATCTGCCCGGATGGGTGGAGGCAGCTGGGCTCAGAAATCTTGGCCATCACAAGCCACGGGAGACCCTGAAGCCAGGAAGTGGGCAGGGGGAGACCCCTGAGATGAGGCTGTGGGTCGGGGAGGCTTGGGGGAGGGTGTGGCTGTGGACAGCAGGTGCCCCCTGCGAGGGGACACGCATGGGTGGGGAGCTCTGGGTTCCAGGCGATGGGCCAGTCCCAGCACTTGAGTGCGGCAGGTCTGGGTGGGCTGCATTGTGGGGTGGGGGTGTGCAGGGGACGCTGGTCAGCAGCAAGTTCACACTCTGTCCGTCTGAAACAGGCCACGGCCAGGAGCCACAGGAGCACTGTGCACACCAGACTGACGTCACTCAGACTGCTCGCGGACGGCCCCACTGCTGCACTAGACAGAACCTGATCTTTGGGGCTTTGGGGGTGGGGTGGGTGGAGGGGCAGAAACTTGAGCCAGAGCAGCGGGAGGCGCTCACACTAACTCTGGGGGAGACACGCGGGTGGGCTCTGACTGCAGCTCGAGGTGCCGCAGGGTGAAAGGAAGGCTGGGAGGCGTCTCTCGGACGGAGAGCGCAGGGGGGAACGCCCCCCACCACCATGGAAGGGCATGGCGGGGGGCGGGGGAGCCACACAAGCGGAGCAGGCCTGGGGGCACCAGGTGTGGGGACAGAGAAGCTGCCGGCACCCGGGCCTCTTGCGGCCAGGTGTGCAAACCCCCTTGTCTCGCCTCCTGAGCCCAGAGCCCGCAACACCAGGGCCAGGGGACCCACTGACAAGGCTCCCGAAGGCCAGCCTTGGGCTCCTGGTAGGGAAGGTGACCAGGGGATCCAGGCAGCGGCCCCTTCATGGAGGGCGGTCCCCAGGAGGCAGAATGCACCCCACAGCTTCCTGTGCTCAAGGAAACAGGCCGGACGCCAGCTGAGCACGGGCTCGGCCGGACGGGGCGACTGCCGGCGAGGTGCCGAGGGCCTGACACCGTCCACCTCGAGCGTCCTCACAGCCACTGCCCCGCACACATAGGGGTCTCCTTCTGTCCCACCACGCAGATGAGAGACCGGGGAGGGGTCTTTCCCGAGGCCACACGGCAGGTGACAGTGCTGGATCTCGGCCCACCTGTCCCTGGGGACCAGGACCCATGGGGAACCAGGCCACATGACTTCCTGGAGAGCAGCGGGTCTGATCAGACCTCGCCTGCCACATGAACGAACGCGTGACGACGGACAGGAGCCGACATGCGGCCTTGAGCAGACTGCAGTCGAGACCGGAGCACACGCTCCTGGACGGCCCACGGCCGGGAGCAACTCGAGGACGGCGGCACCGGGGCCACAGGGAAAGACCAAGCAAGGAGGGAGTCGGGCGGGCAGGCAAGGGAGGAAGGGCTGACGCCACAGACTGAGAAGCAAGTGCCACAGGCGAAGGGACAGGGAGGACGATGAAGTTCGGAGTCGGTGAGGAAGAAGATGCCTCCGCGACCGGAAGGCCAGCGTGAAAGCCCCGCGCTTCCCTTTCTGGAAGAGACACCACGAGGCAGAGACGACGCTGAAAGAGGCACATGGGGAAAGCCGGGCGCCCCCCAGAGCCCCCCCCCGCCCCCCAGCACCAGGCAGGACGGTGGGAGGGCCTCCCCACGGCTGGTTCAAAGGATGCTCTCCAGGGAAAGAAACTCCACCTGCCTCTGTACAGCCAAGTGAGTGGGTCACCCACCGAGGCCCGAGGGCCGTGCTGGTCTTGGGCAGCTCTGCGTGGCTCTGAGCCGGGAAGGTCACGGTCGAAGGGAGACCTCAGAAAAAAGAGACACCTGCTCAGCAGGGTGTTTGGGCCGCTTATCGATTCCCAGGACCACAGAGAAGGGACGACACCATGTCCCAGTGAAAGGCAGGAACAAAGCAGGCAGGCCGCTCCGCCGCAGCCCCTTCACCCACTTCACGGGAGGAAGCGCGACCCAGTGCAGTGGGGGAGCGCAAGTTCTCATCTGCGGAAGACAGACCACAGAGAAGGAGCCGTTCCCACACACAAGGACCTGCATCTGCAAACTCCCTCGGAAGTCAGCAGGGAGGCCGCCCTGGCCGGGCACTGGCCTCAGCTTCCAGACTCGGCCCTTGTCCACTGGGCTCTGGCCGCAACTTCCCCAGGACGATGAGGGAGGTCCTCTTTCCCTCCCCAGGGAGGCCCCCTGTCACCTGCCGGGGCCTGCCCTGGGCACGGCTGATCTCCAGGTGCCTGGCACTCGCCCTGCACAAACAGCACTGGCTCCTCTCCCCGCTGCACTGACACTGCCCGACCCGTCCACACTGACCCCCAGGGCAGCACTAGGGTGCACCCGCACCCATTGAAGAGAGGGGGACCAAACATGCTGACGTGCGGAAATGCTGGATATCAACAAGCCCACTGGGAACAGTGTGTGACAGTGACAGTGAGGCAGCAGGCCGCACGCATGCAGGGCTCACGCAGAACGCGCCGACGTGGTCTGGACACGGCATGGCGGTGCCTGGTCGCTCTTACTGCACACGGCACCCCGGGCGATGGCAGGGCAAAGTGCGGGGCACGGCCCTCCTGCCCCCCAGGAGCTCACACTCGGGCCGGCAGGGAGACGTCAGGGCACACACGGGGACCAATGCTCAGTGTGAAAGAGGAAGAAGCTGGGCAGGCCCATGTCTAGGTGACAGGTGATATCTGACCTCGTACCTGAGCCCCTGTGCATGGGGCGGACTCCGACCCCCTGGGCCTCACTCCCCCGGCCGGCAGCCCCCAGCTCCTCCCCAGCCTTGGCTGGGCACAGCCCCTCCCTGGTCCTCCTGGCTGCACACCTCAGGCAGCCCGGGGCCTCTGGCTCTGCCACCGTGTGTGGCCTCAGACGAAGTGCCACACCATGAGGTGGGTCCTGGCTTCACCAGCTGCTGCCAAAGGGCATGTGAGGCAACCGGGCTGAGAGCAATCACTCTGCGGAGGTTAACTTTGACCATGGGGGCTGGGCCCGAGGTCGGTCTGCTTCCCACCCCTCCCCTGAACGGCTGTTCCGAAGCTCCTCTTCCTGGCCTTCTCTCCTTTCTCTTTTGGACAGTCTGCTGATGGGGCTCTGGGGCTGCGTGACCTGCTGGGTGCCCGGCTAGGGTGTCCTCTGGTGTGTGTTCCCACCTTCTCCTCCTCGCTTCTGCCCTCACAGCTCCTGCCCGGCTGGCCCCTCCCAGGGAAGTGTGACCCTCTGCCAGGACTCTGCTTGGGAAAGTGCCCGAGTTACGACAGACTAGGGAGTGGGGGCCAGCTGGACACTGGAGGGAGAACATTCGAGGCAAGGGCAGCAAGGGCAGCAAGGGCAAAGGCATCTGGAGAAGACGGCAGCGTCTGGAGAGGAGAGGGCACGGCCAGAGCTGCGTGGCCAAGGGGCAGAGCCCAACTCCTGCTTCGTTCTGCGGGGACGGGGAACTGCTGGAGAGTTCTGTGCAAGATCTGGCCCACACCCCAGCGGGGCTGCCCACCCAACTCCCGGGACCCCTCCCATGTCACTCTGCAGCCCCCAGAACACAGCAGGTCCTTCCTGCTGAATGGATCATGAAGGCCGAGTGGCTAGCGAGCAGCCCCTGGATAGTGGGGGCTTCGGCGGCCCCCCACTTCCTGGCCATGTGGTCCTGAGCAAGTTCCTGAGCAAGTTCCTGAGCCTTCCTTGCCTGTTTCCTCATGTGACATACGGGGCCACAGCAGCACCTGCCTCCGACCGGCTGCCGGGATGGCGGGGGATGGGGGCCTAGTGACTCGGCTGTGTGAGGTGTCTGGGGTGCAGTCAGTGTCCACCAGAGGCCGGCCAGCTTTCACCATCGCTGCCAACCACGACAGGGGCAGACGTGATAAGAAACCTCGTTTGTTGTAAAAGGAGGAATCTCACCGCCAGGGGAGCTGGCAGCCCCCCCGCCGGCACATGGACCTCCTCGGGAAGGAAGGGGGCAGGCACCGTGCGAGACTGTCGCTGCACCCTGGGAGCTTGGCCTGGCCCCTCCCTCGTGGGGCCCCTGGCAGCCTGTCCAAGCGGGGCTCGCTGAGAAGGAGGGACAGGACCCCCTCGGTGAAAGACAGTCTTTTCTCAGAGAAGGTCATGCAAGCATGGCAGAAACGCGAAACAGCACACCAAACTAAATCGCCCAAACTTCATCACTCCAGAGGACGCGTCACTCGGCACTGACGGCTCTAATGGACCGACCCCAGGCTGCCAAGTCGGCAAACCAATGTGCCCGGCAAAGCAGACCGCCTCCCGCCTTCCACAGACGTTCACGCAGCACCCACCTGTGCCGGCACTGCCCCGGCCCTGGGGGCGGTGCTCCTGGGCCAGGGTGCCAGGGGCCCAGGAAGAAAAGGGGCTGCCAGGGCTGCCCCTCTGGCATGAGCTGCACACCTGTCCCTCAAGGACCCTCTGCTGTCCCCTTCCCAGGTGCCCATACACGGGCTCTGACCCTGGAGGACAGTCAGACCCAGGGAAAGGAGCTAATTTCGGGCCTGGACTCTGGTGGTTCCTCCATACCAAAGGTCTGACCAAGGTATGGAGGACAGCCGGACACAGGGCCGCTTGGGCAAAGTGCGGACTGCGCTGAGGTCACCGTCTGGGCCAGGCTTCCCAGGAATATGGGAGGTGGAGGAGGCACAGCAGAGAGCAGGCGGGGACCCAGGGCTGAAATTCTTTGAAACTGGCTGATGGGTTCACGGGTTCCTTACACTGTCCTCTCCATTGTCACGTATCTGCAGAGTTTCCATAATAAATAGTAAAAAAACAAAAAAGAAAGAAAGAAACACAAGCACAGCCTGGGCCCCAGTTCCACCTGCCACAGCCGCCCCCAGGATGGGTAAAGGCTGCTCTGGCTCAGGAGGCTTGAGCCAAAGGGGGAAGTTCAAGTTCATTTCCTTGAGGAAATCAGACATTAGTTCAATCACTGAAGGTGATCAACTTTTTGACACGGAAGAATAAATACAAGCAGAAAAGTCCCAAATCATAAGGTCAAAGCTTGATGTACATCCACAAATTGAGCACCTGTGTCCCCAGCACCCAGCCCCCCAGGGGCCCCACCGCCCAGCCTGGTCCCCACCCGCCAGACTCCTCCCCGCCTGGCTGACCCTGCCTCTCCAGGCACTTTGCACAGCAGGATCCCGGAGCCTGTGCACGCGGCCACGAGCCGGCGGTGTTCTACAACCCAGATTTATAGCCCGTCTGCTTCTTCCTGGTAGGAGCCAAGTCCCCGAGGCCAGCCTGCTGTAATCTGAAGAAAATGTTTGTCCTGCTCAACAAACACTGCGCTCTCCATGGCAACAGCTGGGTAACGGAGGAAAATGTGCCTGCGGCCGTCCAGCTGTGAGGGGAGGGCGGCTGGGGCCCAGCCTGTCTCGGCCTCTCCAGACCCCCCAGCACTCTGAGTTCTGCCTGGGACTCGAGGACGCAGGCCAGCACAGATCCAAGAGGACGATAAGGCAGAGTACCAGCTGCCCCGCTGCAGCCCTCAGGGCATGAGCTGCCTGGGGCCGGCGAACTCCGGCTGTCCCTATCTCTCTCTGTCTCAGCCAGAAGGAACCCTTAAGGCCTTCTTCAAGGCCTTCTTCAAGGCCTGGAGCCCGCTCAGCCTTCGGCATGGACACTGGCCACAACCCCTGCCCTTACCCAGTGACCGCTCGCCTGCTCACTCACTGCCACTGATTTGCACTAGACTTGGAGATACAGTAACAAACCTGTTACAGGTGTGCAGCAAGGAGCATAAAGAGTTAACAGAGGCCCCCGCTGGGGGGCACAGGTGGGCCAGTGTCCACCAGGGTGGGCCACGGGGCGTCTGCGCAACTCTGGGGCTGTGTATTTCTAGTGAGTTCTGCTGAGGACGTGGTTATCAGTGTCACTCTTCTGACTGAACGCGGGGAGGCCCTGCCAGCCGCTCGCTGACCCGACAGAGGCTGAGGTTTGCTGAGTCCAGTGAAGTTACGTCACCATTTAAAAACAGAGGCCAGGGTTTTTCTAAAAGTAAAGTATGTGCTTGAGAAACAGTACGAATGAAAAGAACCCTTTTTGTTTCCTTCTGGCCTCATGGGAACATGCCGTTCAGACCAGCCATACCGGGTCTGGAGGCAAGAGCGCGTCCGAAGCCCATGTAGTTGCCTGGGAAGTCCTTGAAACAGACCTCCAAGATGGCCTCACCCTATCCCTTCTTACGGATAAGGAAACTGAGGCCAGGGGGCAGGGAGCTGAGTCACTCAGCAGCAGCCGCTGGCTGGCAGCAGGGCAGGCCCCCCTCCCATCCAGCATCCAGCCTCCACAGACAGCCTCCACAGACAGCCTGGGCTGCACCTGGGCTGCGCTGGTTCTGCACCAGTGAATCACACCAACAGGACAGTGACAGGTGACGCTGACACCCACGGCACCATCCCTGTGGTGGCATAGCACGTCGCTTTCCACTTAAAAAGCTCCATTCCCATCTCACCCAAGCACCTTGTAAAAAGTGATTAGCCTTGTACTTAAAAACTCAGTGGCCAGTTAAAGGCTCAGGCAGAGTCCCGTTGCCTTCTTGGTCAAACCCAGCCTGGGACCAGAAACCCTGGGGTAGGGGTAGGGGCACCAGTTTGCAGCCAGGGAGCAGTCGATGGCCCTGCTCTGTCCGCCGGGGAGGTGGGAGGTGCTCATGGAGGCTGCCTGGGGGGGTTCCTAACATTTGAGGGACCTGAGGCCCCTCCCCCTAATATTCCCACCCACTCAGGAGTCAGCACCCACTTTGAGGCTTCCAGAGAACCTCAGCAGCTCACCCTGACCCAGATCAAGACCCTCAGGACGACGGGAAGCCCTGCGGCACCCGAGCTCGGTCGGGCCCAGCCCCGAGAGATGTCCGCCCAGCAGGTATCTGGGCTTCAGTGTTGTCGTCCGTCAAGGCAAGGGGCTGCCCTGGATGATTTCCAGGGTACCTTCCGACTCCGTTGTTCTTTGGGTATGAATCAGCTTACCACATGGGTTTATTTGCGTGGGTTACAGAAACCATGGCAACAGAGTTGTCATCCCTTAACCTGGCCTTCCGGAAGACTATAGCAGGCTGGCACCTGCCCCCCACCCCTGTCAATGGCCAGGACTCGGCAGCCAAGGGACACCCGTGAAGGATGGTATGACTGCTGTATCACAGGTGGGGCCCCCTCCATCCACCAAACCTGGGGAGAGAGAATAAGACGGGGGAGTCCAGTGTGGGTGCAGGGGCACACGGGGTGTGCCTTCCAGCGCACAGGGTTCCCAGCCAGGCCTTCTAGTCTCTCGGCTCACCCACTTCAGGGGACCCATAGACTGTCCTGGCAGGGCTCTTAGACCAGCGCCCACCTGCGGCCCTTCCCCAGCTGGAGAGGTGGCTCTCTGGCCTCAGAGCAAGCAACCGGTTCCCTAGGGGCTCCCCTGTGTTCCCAGAAACAGTTGCACTGGCCCTTGGTTGCCTTGATCTTTCCCTGACCTCTCCCCACTGGGTGAGGGAGGGGTCATGAAAGAAAATGATCTGCAGGACAGGCTGGTGTGGTGGCCACAGCTGCTCTGTGACCTGAGACAAGTTTCCTAACCTCTCTGAACCTCAGTTTCTTGATCTGCAAAATGGGGATAACAGTGCCCACCCATCCCTCACCCTCCAGGCCACTTTCAAGTCTAGAAGGATTCCCACGACCCAGGAATCTCCGGGATCGCGCCTCCGTGGGCTGGCGTAGCCGCCGCCGTCCCCGGAGCCCACCCGCCAGTCCTCCACACTCGCCAGCCCGCCGGCCCGGGGCCGCACCGGCCGGCAGCGGTTACGTAACCAGCGAGCGGGCGGCAGCTGCACTACTGACCGCCCCAGCCCGGCGCCGGTCCTCCCGGCCGCGCACTCACCGTGGAGCTGCGTCCTCGCCTGTCTCCTGGTCGACCCGCGCGTCTGTCCACGGACCCGCGCTCGCTGTCGCAGCCGCTGAGAGCAGCGCGTCGTCCACAGCGCAGCCCGCCGCAGCCGCCGCCGTCGCCGCTGCCGCTGACTGGTCGCTGTCACATAGTGGAAAACGTGACCGCGCGCGCGGAGCCCGCCCCCAGCACCCCCATTGGCCACGATGCTGCCTCATTTGCATACGGGGAGGCTTGGCAAGCAAGTGTCGCGTTTCCATTGGCTACGGTGCCTGTCGCTCTCTTTACATAAGACGCACATGGAACTCCATGTTCACCGTGTAGGTTCCTCAATGAAGACACGGCGCGCTCCTTTCCCCCTCCTCGTCCTCGCAAGTGGTCCCTTCCACTTCCGGCCTCGGCGTCTTCCATTCAAGACAGCCCGCGTCGGCGGGCTCGGGGAGCTAGGAGTGGAGCGTACCACCGCGGGGCAGGGGACGGGGACCGGCTCCTACGCACCTCGATTCAGGCGGCGGGGCAGACGGACTCCCGCTGCAGCCCAGGATCCGGGAGGCTGCCAGGTTCGGCGACAGGCCAGAGGCGCGTCCTCAGCGGCCACGGCCGCGAGAAACTCCCCGAGGTCATCTCTCATTCACGTTTCACGTTCATTTACTCATTCATCGCTACTAGGCGCTCGGCTCAGGAGACCGACACCCTGCCCGAACTCCCGAGGCATGCCCAACCAGGCCACCAAAGCTTACACTTGTCCCAAACCTGCCCCAGAACTGTCGGCTCCCAAGAGACCTTTCTTATTTTTTAGACTGTGTGTTTCTGTTTTGGGTTCAGGAAATAGGAATATTCGAACTCTGGAGGTACCCAGGTATGAAATGAATGATGTCCCTGAACCCAACCACGTCATTCGGAAGAAAGAACCAGCTGTCTCGGAAAGGGAACTTAATCAAATACTGAATTGGGCGTTGTGGATGGTAAATTCACCAGCCCCGGAATCACCCCCAGAGGCTCCATGAAGTGTGAGTGAGAAAGGAAAACTGCTGTCCGAAGGAAGGAAGGAAGGCACAAGCCACAGAGACACAGCGTGCCAGTCCCTGGAGCATGTTGGCCGAGGCCATCTGTTCTTTCAGTCAGTGCTGTTCGGGGCCTGTCGAGCCCCCAGCCTGCTGTCTGTCAGGGGTGTCCAACCTGCGGCCTGCAGACTGCACGCATCCCAGCATGGCTATGATTGTGGCTCAGCACAAAATTGTAAATTTACTTAAAGCCTTCTTTTTGCTCATCAGTTTTCACTAGTGTTTGTGTATTTAATGTTTGGCCCAAGACAACTCTTCTTCTGGTGTGGCCCAGAGATGCCATTGGACACCCCTGGGAAGTGTCCGGAGTGACCTAGTAGTGGGCCAAGAACTGCGCGCAGGACGTGACTCACATGCAGGCTCCAGGCAGTGGGGCTGCAGCAGCCTCTGAAGTGCAGGGTCTGGGGGGAGTGCGAGGCTGTCCCTGAGGGGCCGAGGGGACACTAGCTGTCCCAGGAGCGGGGCCAGGAGCTTCTCCCTGCACGCGTCCCATTCTCATTCCTGGGCTCTCCTGTCGGGATGGAAGGGAAGGAAGAGTTACAGTCTGGCTGCCTGCAGCCAAACCCACATTCAGGAATTCTCATTTCTTTTCCTCTTCTTGACAAGCGTGTGTGACTTGGGCAGACACAGGGGCAAAGTAGGGCAAGTACCAAGTTCATTGGGGCAAGTCTTTCCCCCATAGGCCCCAGGAGGCCGGCTGTGTGGCTCACACTGCACTGAGTGACTGTCCCCTCCTCCTGCTTCTCTGACACACTCCCCACCCTGCTCCCTAACACACGCACACAGACACACACCCAAGCAAATCCAGAGCCGGCTGCAGGGACACACCCACAGGTCCTTTTGTTTCTTCACTGTACATTGACGTCAATGGTGAGCCCCATTGTTCTGGAAGCCAGTGTAAACAGACAGCTCATCCAGGCAGAGAGATTCTCCTGCCGCCCAACTTTCCCTACCCTTGCTTCTTGTTCAGCCTGCAGCCTAAAGCCCCATTTCCTCCCCAAAGTTAGCCTTTCCTATTTCGATAATGAAAAGATTGAAGCAATTACTTTAGAAAGTAAATGTCATGGGTTTCTAGAATTCTTCAGAACCTAACTTTCATTCAGTGTCTCGTGGCGAGCTCCTTCGCCCTGGTTATCGGGCACTTCCCTTCACTGCGTGGACATTAGCCGACACCAGGTTGGGGGGGGGATGCAAACGTGCCTCTTTCTGGACCCCTGGCTTCTCAGGGTTTGTGGCGTAGGAGTGAGGAGGTGGGTTCGGAGGCAGTTTCACCTAAGATAGGGTGTGAGTCCCGGGAAAACCGGACAGACCTAAGAGGAAGCCTGCACTCCCGCCCTGACAGAAAAACACTGAGGGGGGCAAACCCCCAGGATCAGGCAGAGGCCGAGGGTGCCATTCTCCCTGAACAAGGTGGTGAGTGAGTGCGTGTGTGTGTGTGTGTGTGTGCTGGGCATTCAGGTGGCAGGTGGAGTGAATCCTGGTCAGCCTACACTGCCCTGCTGCTGTGTTGGGATTAGCTGTCACCTTTAGCTAGCACAGAGGTCTTGGCCAGATGAATGGCTGTTGGCACTAAGGAAGGCAGGCTGGCAAGAAGGAAGCCTGGGGGCGGGGTGGTAAACCAGTTCCCCAGCTGCCTGCGGAATGCTGTTCTGGAAGTGGCTGGCCTCCGGTCTCAGCCTTCCCCCCCGCCTTTCCAGCCAAAGGCTGCTCTGGCCCAGTCCCTGGTCCATTTCCACCCAGGCCCAGCCCGGCCTGCAGGGCCCCACTGCACCCAGGTCTCCATGCCCTTACCAGGCCACTCGCTGGCTCCCTCGTTCGCTCACGCAGGCAGCCAGCTATTTATTGGGCGACTACTGTATGGCACACATTTCGCTGGCCACTGCCTCCTCTTCTCGCGATCACAAGGTTTGTGGGTCAGCCAGCTGGCGCACGAGCTGGGGAGGCAGAGGACAGGGGCTGGGAAGAGAATTATGTCTATAAACAGCGTGGCTAGCCTGTCCTCTCTAGGAGACAGAGGGGACACTGCCGATCTGTCTGGTCCTCTAGCCGCAGAGTCCTTTTCCTGGGTCCAGGGACATTGGAGATGAGAATGCCTGACCCGACCCTCACTCTCCATCCTCCCTTGTGCCTGGTGCCTGCGCACAGCTGTAGGCTGGGGACCGTGGCAGCTCCTGGCAGGGACACTCTCAGTGGGGTGGGCCCACAAGCATGGGCAGCTGTCTAGGGAGGGCTCCGTGGCCCAGGGTAGAGAAGGCATCTTTACTGGGGGTCACACACCTGCTGCTGAGGGATTTAGTTTTTTAAACTAAGTATAGATTCGGGGAAGGCTGTTCTTTGTTTGGGGGAGACACGTGCATGTTGTGTAGTCATGGGTCTCCCCCAGGAGGTCAGAGGTTGAAGCCGCCACAGTGAGCAGGCTCCATTGTCCCCACCACCACCCCAGAGAAGCTGCTCTACAGGGAAACTGAGCGCGTCTTCACACAGTGCCATTTGGCCGTCTCCTCGCTGTCCCTTCCTGAGGGCACCTGGGTAGCGCAGTGCAATGGTACGGGCTGGAGCCTTCGGTACCGCCGAACGGAGGCGGTGAGCATGGACACCCCCGCCCCATTCCAGTCCGCGGGAGAGAGTACCCCACACTTCATCCTGAAGTGGACGTCAGCCTCAGCGGTGTGGACTTTCACAGCTGTCCTTGTCACACGGAGGTCTCTTTCTGTGATAGTTTGCTGAGAACCTTTTTATAAAATCATGCAATGGTGCAATCGGCTTTTAATCCGTGGTAATTATTATTTGAGAGTATTTCCTCCAAATAAATCTAACCTGTTATTTTGCAGATCTGCAGGTGATTGGAGTCACACAGCTCTGTGTCTGCGGTACAGCACTCTCCATAGACTTGCTTACTTCATCACGTACCTACGAAAGTAAATTAAAAATCAGTGCCTGAGGCTCTGCCTTTTCTAGGTCGGTGGCTTCCTCTTTATTGCCACAAGAATCCAATGATTAGATGTGCACCCAACTGACTTGCTATCAGTTTTCCAAATGGAAGGTATGATTTTGACGGAAGCCAAAAAACCTGTTTGCTATTCCGTCACCTGAGGAAGGTTAAATGTCCTGGTCCTGAGGCCATAAAACAAAAAACCAAGGAACCAATGAGGTGAGAACTTAGCCTCCTGGTCAGGGAGAGGGTGTGGCGGTGGCTGGGGTCAGTTGGGGTCAGAGCTTCGCCCGGCTTGAGGGCCGACGTCCGGGTGGCTTCTCTGGTCTCGGGCGGCTTCGGCCACTTCCCAGGGTCTCTGGGCTACCACCGCCCTCCCTCTGGTGGCGGCCAGGAGAGGCGACTTTCCCTTAAGGCTGCCTCTGGCGGAGGTGACACCCGTGTCTGGGGCAACCCTTTGGAGGTCAGAATGACCTCTCTTCCCTTGGTGTGTCATCCAGCTCGGGGCCCTGGACCTGGACCGGGGAGGCCCCTGAAGAATCTGTTGTCCTGTCCCCTTCTGCCTGGTGTATGTCCCCAAAGCTCTCACCTCAGCTTCGTTCTGCCTGCATTGCTGAGGCTGGGGCTTAGGGGGGGATCCCAGCTGGCACCCCTGCCCCCTAGAAGTCCTGGGCAGTGTCAGGAACTGGGAGCCACCAAGGCCCCTCCCTGTCAGGCCGTCTGACCCTCCATGGAGCCGAGGTCCCCAGGGTGCCCCTCTCCCCGACGAGCTGCGGCGGAGCCCGCGTGCTCACTAGACACCATGCTCAGCAATCTCGGTGAATTCTCTTGTTTAAGCCCCACAGCCCCGAATGGCCTGGGTCCAGGCCCCCTGGCCCCTTTGTGAAAAACTCCCTGGAAGCCGCAGTGCAGTAAGGAGTCTTGTGGGGCTGGGCCTAGGTCACGAGCAAAGGCAACCCTTGTCTGCAGACAACCCTTGTGACCGCCCTCAGCCCTCCCCGCCCCTGCAGGGCCTGCGGATAAGATGGCCAGAGTCCAAAGTCCAGTGTTCCTCTTGTTCTGGAACATCCCCCCCCCCCCGCTGCCTCCCTCTGCTGTGTGAGTGGCCTGGGCTCCCAGATGGGGACGGCCAGCCCCAGCCCCACCCGCCCTGTCCGCAGCCCCCCTCATGCATCCGCCTGAGTCTCAGCCAGTTTCCCTCCCCGAGATTCTGCCCCGGGCCAACCCGAGTGTCACCTGTGTCACCTGCGGGGTTGGTTCCTGCTCACCAGCTTCTCTCTGGAGCCCAAAGTGAAAGAATGCCACCTGTCCCCAGGCCAAAGCTTTTTGGGAGCAACAAAGAGGTTTGCCGGACCTCTGTCGGATGGGAGACACCCACTCTGGGGGTGGCAAAGGGTCACCTGGCTGGCTGAGTGGCAAAGGCAGGAGCCCAGGTGACTGTAGGCTGCAGTAGCCTGGGGGCACCAGACGGCCCCACTGTGAAAGAGACTTGGGGGGACTTGGGGAGAAAAGCTGCTGTGTGCCCACCTCCCACTGCCCCCCACACCACCCTCTACAACAGATTGAGTCCTAAGAAGGAGGAGGAGGAGGGGAAACAGAGACCCTCCTGCCCCTGCCCCCGTGCTGGGAAGCTGCTGCAGGGAGGCCATGGGGGACTCAGAGGAGGGTGAGACCCCCCGGTATTGTAGCCGACAGCGCCCGGAGCTCTGGAAAGGATGCTCAAGGGACCTCGTCATCCTTACCCTGGGGGGGGGTCTCCTTGACCATGAACTAGGACATGCCTCTGAGACGACGGGCACCCAGAGAGACCCCGAGAACAGGGACTCAAAAAGCCCAGACAGTGTTGTCAGGGCCGGGCAGCCCTGCCCTCCAGGTGGGGGGCCTCCCTGAGAGGCAGCAGCCCTCCCGGCTCTCTACCTGAGACAGGAGGGGGAGCCAAGATGGGAAGGCCCGCCCCCTCCGAAACCCTGTCGTGGAGAAAGAAAACAGCTGCCTGCTGAGCCTGCAGCGGTCAGGCTGGGAGACCAAGAAGCACGACCAAGGGCCAGTGGCAGCAGCAGGAAGGGACAGTTGGAGGGGACGTGTAGGATGGCGCACAGGAAGACTGTGAAAAGTGGGGGGCTAGCAGAAGGCGGGGACCAGTAGCTCCCTGGGAGGTCAGAGCCTGTCCCTGCCACCTCTGTGGTCCTTTTGCTCTGCAGGACTCGGGACATGCAGTTGGAGAGCCAGCATGCCAGATCCTGACAAGAACGAGGGGACTCCCAAGGGAGCTCCTGTGGCTCTAGGGCCCACCCTGTGGGACTGGTCCTGGTCCACCTGTCCCTTCACCCTGTGTGGACCCTTCAGACCAACAGAATGAGCCCCCACCCGCTGTCCACTCCTGGGGTCACAGGTGGCACGTTCCAGACCACAGATGCTGAACACAGAGGCGTTCCAGACAGTCTCGGGCTGGCTGGACCTCAGAGCCCAGGAGGCTGCCACCATCACCACCAGGCTCCCGCTCCGTGGGAGGCGGGAGGCGGGAGGCAGCCAGTCAACCAGTTCTGAGCCCTTTGCTCTCCAGTGGGCAAAGGTCCGAGGCCTGGTTCTCATGCAGCTGGCCCAGAGAAGTCCCGGGGAGCCGAGCGCAGGAAGCTGCAGAGCGTTGGACCTGTCTCACCGGGAGGCGGTGGCTGGCACAGGAAGGCCTCATCTGGTGTGTCCCTCCACCCCTTCCCTCCCCCCTCGCTGTCCTGGGGCTGCGTCTCCTGGAAAGGCACCAGTTCACATGCGAGTCCTCAGACCTTTTGCCAGGGCGCCGGAACTGAGGCCGGGATGCTGAAAATGTCTCTAGAACGAGGCCCTCGGGGGTTCGTTTTGCGACAGAACTGCCCACCTGTCTCAAAGCCGTAGTGTTACAGAACAGAGCCAAGAGGTGTGTACGATATACTTTTACTAAAAGGACCCCCCACTGGGTTCGCTATGCCCGCCACCAGAGAAAAGATGTCTCTCAATGCCAGAGATTGGTAAAAAGGAAAGGAAATATTTATTTAAAAGTTATACAGGCTAAAGTTCTTCAGAAACCCACGAACACACACAGTCCTTCCTTCTCCCCCTGCCCGGTCCGGGGTCCTGTATGTCAGGAAAAGAAGTACAAGTCCGAGATTCGAGCTCCCGGCACCTTCAGCTGTGTCGCCACCACGATCTCCAGTTTATCCAAAGCCGTGCGGGCCTTTTCTCGGCCCTGCAGCACGAGTCCTTTCACCCCTTTTCCTGCAGGCGAAGTCTCTCCTGCTGCCTAACCCACATGGCAAAAGGGAGCACCCGAAGCCACGTGGTCCTCACCCTGCCAAAGCCGCATGGTTCTCCCCTCACTCACATGGCTGTGCGTATGGGTTTGAATCCCCCAGCCGATCTTCCTCTGCAGCCCCATTTCTGACTCCTCCTGATAGGGAACTCAAAACTTGGAAAATTTTAGCTTAAGGTAAAAAGTTATAAGTCTAGCAAATAATGTGTATGTTAAAGCGTCTGTTTCAGAAACTACAGATAAGGCCCGTCCTGGCTCCTGGGAAAACAGCCGGCCTCCTGGGGCGCTGGCTAGAGACCACGGCCTGGGGGCCACTGGAGGCACCCGGGCCTTTGTGTTCCAGGGAGAGACCGGTTGACAATCGCCCCTGGGAACAGCTCACTGCCCGGGGCAGGAATGTTGCAGCTTCTTTCACCCAGTCCTCCCTGAATCTCAGTGCCCTCACGGCACCTTGTTTATTCCCTGGTATAAAAAGTCTGGCCTAAAGAAGGGGCTGGAAAGAAGTATTCCAAGCCATGAAAGGCAAGGACCTACATCCAAGATGACTCTATCCAGCAAAGCTTTCATTTAGAATGGGAGGGCAGATAAAGTGCTTCTCAGATAAGGTCAAGTTAAAGGAGTTCATCATCGCCGAGCCCTTATTATATGAAATGTGAAAGGGGCTTATCTAAGAAAAAGATCAAAAATATGAACAGTGAAAGGACAGCAAACTCACAGTTATTAACAACCACACCTAAATCAAAAGCAAACTAAGAGGACAGCTAGATCAGGAGCGGAGCCACAGAAATGGAGATCATATGGAGGGTTAGCAACAGGGGAGTGGGAGGAGAAGGGGGGAGAAGGTACAGAGAATAAGTAGCATAGACAGTGGGGAGAAAATAGACGGGGAGGGCAAGAGTAGTGTGGGAAATGCAGAAGCTAAAGAACTTGTGACACGTGGACATGAACTAAAGGGGGTGTGCAGGGCGGAGGGGAATGAAGGGGGAGAAATGGGACAACTGTAATGGCACAATCAATAAAATATATTATTAAAAAAAAGTCTGGCCTAGAAAGAGAAGACAAGATGGTTAGGGTATGAACCCACCATCTTCTCAGATTGCCGGCCATCTGAATAAATCGCTCATGAAGATTCAATCGCTGTCATGGCTTATTGGGTTTGGTGGTAACAGGCAGCCCGAATGCCAGTGTCTTTTCCGGTTGTACTCCCAGTCGGCTACGCCTCCAGCTGTCCTGCGTTCTTCCAGCTTTACTGGGCTGCCACCGGGGGTCTGGGCAGGTGTGGCCCCCTGGCGTGGAGCCAATCATCTCCAAGCTCTCACACAGGTGCTGTGACCAGGGGGAGTTGCCCCCCAGTTACATCTTGGGTGGAAGTCACTTCCATCCCCCTGGCTCAAAGCATGGCCACAGCTGTTTAACATACATACCCATGAAACCAGTTAAAGGCTATAGATATGTTACATGACCATGACAGAGATTAGC